TATGTAAAAAAAGCAATGAAAGCTATACAAAGCAATGAAATGTTTCTTGTCTGTAAGCCTGTTATGCAGGTTTCATAAGAACCCTCCAACTTCACCTGTGAACCATCATAAAGGTGAGCCGCTAGCACATACATTTTTATGCAGGTGTGTTCCCAGGGCCTGGTTAAGGCTGGAGGGTGTTTGGATGTTCTATGGTGAGGAATCCTTTTGATTTTGTTTTTGTTTTTATACTGCTCCTGCATCCCTTTCTGGGTGAAATTAAATTCTAGATGTTTTGGCCTGTAGCTCCCATCATCCTTTGTCATTCTTTATTCTGGCTAAGGCTGATGGGAACTACAAGTCAAAATACCTGGAGGGCTATAAGTTGCTTACCTCTCCTCTTGATCCTAGGACAGAGACATCAACTGTCTTTTCAGAACAATTATATATGACATTCCAGGTACTTCAAGAAGCTTTCTGAATGTAATGGCAAAAGTGCACTAATCAACATTTTTCCTGACCCAAAGAACTAAGAGAATGTTGGCAACAGGAAACTAAAAACAGGATGTGAAGTACAAAGGATTTAACAGCATTTTCTCCCCCCCACCCCCGCCACTAATCACTTGGCAAGATAGTAGCTGACAAAACTGCATCAGTGACACTTGGGACAAGTAAAATGTTATTGTTTATGTGCCTTTTTATGGCTCCTTTATTACCCACCAAAACCTGTTCACTTTACGCCTCTAAGGGCACAATCATATGTTGGCTGGAGAAAGCTGGGCGTTAAATGATTTTTTTCTGCCCTGACATAGGACTGGGCCCTAACATAACTCTGGTTAGATGGATGCTATGTGTTAGCCATGCATTCCTCTTCTTGCCATGCTTGAGTACTATGGCCTTAATTCTGGAGAATATAGGCTCTGTCCTGGACAAGATTGTAGAAACATTTTCAATTATGCCTTTGTGGAATTGTAAGTGTTACGTTTATGTAACACTGGCTTGGCAAAACTCCAATAGGATAAGAACAAAAAGAAACAAGTGTAATTTGCCTAAGTTCTTTGATCCTACTTAGTAAGAAAAATTAAAATACCTAAGTGCTTCTTTCCACAAACTCAGGTGGTTTCTTGGTCTCACAAAACGTAAGTGTTTTCCTGAATCTTTCCAATATGTCTTAGATTCAAAATAAACTGTCAGACAATCCAGCTGAATGTCCCTACTTCACATCTGTTTTTGCAAAGCAGTCCTGCAAATATTGCTTTATAGGCAATTTTATGACCTTTAGTCTCAATTTCTGGTGCCAGGACACAAAGATGGAAGCAGAGCTTGGTCTTCAGCATATGTGAGAAGAGGCAGCATTTAAAGTACCTACAACCACTTATGGGGTGTTCAAAGAAGTGGTTATGGGCACTAAGTGGCCACAGGGACCCACCAGAATACCTCAATTTGAGGAGCCTTCAAATGAACATTTTGTCATGAGCCAGTTCCTGTCTTAAAAAGACACTTAGGAAAGAGCATTGTGACTTTGAGTGACCATTTACTGGTAACAATTATGTGAATAAATTCTGTTTCATCCATATATTTATCAATTTGTACAGAAGCTGTAGGAATCTCCCCTGCATAGTTTTCATTACTTCATTCCTGCAGTGTGGTCTTAAACTGCCATGACAATTTCACACAATGAAGAATTAAGTGGAATGTGTGCATGTTTCTGACCTTATGACCAGTTTTAGTTAGGATGGCCATAAGTCCAGCTTTGCAGGCACCAAGCATCTATGTGAAACCAATCTAAATCTGGTTTTAAGATAAAGAATCATAAGGGAGAACCTTGAAGGCCCTGAAGTTGCCCAAGATCAATTAGCACCCAAATACCAATTTAATGAGGTTTGAAAGAAAAAAAACTAATACACATTTCATGTAGCAGTTTATGAATAGCATTCTCCTGTTACTCATTAAAAAGTTCTAAAGATGTTGGGAGTAAGTTATATGATAACACTGCCACTTACATGGCGATAACCTTGACAAAGTGCTGAATTAGCCTCTGGAAGCCTAAATGTAGAAGTATTTCTATTTATAGTTGCTGAAAGGTGAGTTCATCCCACTGCAGAAAAAAAAAAAAGCTGTTACATATAATTCAGCCTTTCACTGGAAGGAAATATCTATTTTAGGCAATATTGTCACCCCTACAAAATTAGGGTATAACTATTTTCATATATAAATTCATAGCTAAATCCAGTAATTTTGCTTCACCAAAACCCTACACCAGGAAAAGCCATTCCAGAGGGAAGGAATCAGGAATGGAGAGCAAGGAAAGGACTAAGCACTCCCCCTTCCTGTTGTTTCTCCACTCTGAATTACACCTTCCCCAGATGGCTTTTCATAGAAACAATGAAAGGGTCATTGGGATGTGATCACATATAATGTGTACTTGGACCATTAGCAAGGGAAAACAGTACCCCTATTAATTGATTATTTTCACTTAATCATCCAAAAGGCTCTCATTTCTTGTTTTATACTGGAAGAGCATGGCATCAAGAGAAACTTCTAAACCATCATGAGTTTAAGAGCATGGCAAGGAGTCCAGTGCAGTCAACTCTCCTTCTTATAAGCTCCAGCTTAAGTGAACAAGCTGAACACACAATTGTGAAGATGGAAAGTCAACAGGGTCTTAGGCACTATCCCTTGTGCTGCACAGAATATCATATAGAGTACTCTTTGCCTGCTGGACTGTTATCAGGGTGTGTTCAGCACCTGGAAACTCTCAGGTTCCCTGGGGCCAAGGAAGGTGATCTGAGACCCTTCAAAAAGAAAGATTTGCCAATGAAGCTTTTAATGGAGTGGTAGTCCCTCTATAGTCATGAGGAATAGCGGTCTCAGGAAAGGAAGAAGGAAAGGATCCTTGAAGGCACCTTGCTGGATATGCTGATATCCTCTCACATCAAGGATTGACTCCGGGGGCTGGGAGATGCTAGGAGTGGGCAATTCATTGCAGCAGGAGCCCCTAATGCAGCACCTGCATGCATACAACTTTCTCACAATTATGCATAGGCTTGAGCCAATATGGACCAAATATTCAAGCAAGTATCCATCTGAACTTGGCATCTATATATTGCCTATTCACATATTGAAGGCATTGTAAGGGCCTCAATCCACTATATTATAGAAGGTCAGTGTTTATCCTTCCAATAGTTTAATAGCAGTTTTTTAGCTGTCAAAACGATACAGATAATCAAATTTCCATTCCATTTGTTAATTTCCATGAAGGAGGAAATTAATTATAAAGAGATGTGCATCAGTGAATGTTGAGGATTGGTTGCACATAACATCTACCTGCACAATAGCCACCTCCTCAAAATAATCAACTACTGGAGGTTGTCCAAAACGTATATTAAAAAGAAGCAGTAAGTGTATTGTACCCCTGGCAACTAGATGAATCAGACAATCCCTTATTAAAAAGACACTGCGGTGTCCAACAGATACAAAACAAATTCTTTTGCTAAACAGGACACAGCCTAAGATCTATTAATGCAACAGGCATACTGGCTTTATAAGTCACAACCAGAACTTTGAATTCTGCCCAGAAACATACTGGTAGCCAGTGAAGATACTAAAAGAAGGAAGTCACATGCTCCTCATAAATAGTCCATGTGTTTGGCCGCTGCTTTCTGGGCCAGCTGAAGATGCTGAACAGCTTCCGAACATAGTCCTGTGTAGTCCAAATGGGATGTAACTAATCTGGCTTTGGTCACTTCAGGCATTTCTAGGAACAGCACACTTGGCCCACTAACTCAGCAGGGCAAACACACTTCTTGCCACTCCTGGGACTGGGCATCCTGGCTCAGGGCTAAATTGTCAGGATCTGCAGCCATGACACAGCTCCCCCTGGTGATGCGTCTGCAAAAGGCAGCTTGGTCCACCCTGCAAGTGCCTGCAGGATTGCAGCCAACGCAATCATGTGGCACAGCCAGGAGTTTTGGAAAGATCTATAAAAGGCTTTCTTGCACTGTTTAGCTTTGCTACAGTACAGTGAGCCTCTGCTGGAACTATTTAGTGGTTCTATGCCAGTCATGCCTTAACTCCTGCCTGTTCTTGCTTCTGGCCTGGCGCTGCCTTGGCAGGTACCTGATCCTTGCCTTTTACTGATTGTGCCTTTGCTGCTGGACTTGCCAAGTCTTGCTGAGGATCTATCCCTCACTTGTTCCTGACTTTGCCTTTGCCTCTGGCCCTCCTGTGTTCGGCGAAGCCCTTCATCACCACTGGCCCTAATGCTTCAGCCATAGACACCTGCTGCCTAGGTCCCAGATCTGACACACGTGCACTATACCCAAACTGTAAACTTGGGTCTTCAGGAGAAGTGGAACCACACCGGGCACAGATGGAATGCCTTTTCCTGGATCTGCCCCTTGACTAACCTGAAGCCCCCTGCACTGTCGGAACTAAGTTCACATTCAGCCGCCCTCACCCAGTCCTTCACTGACACCAGGTAGAAGCAGAATCGCTTCCTTGGATTTACACCCACAGGGGAGATGGAGCTGGGCGTCCTCGCCGTCCCGGTGGGAACCCAAGTTACCCGCAGAGCGAAGCTTTGCTCTAAGCCAACGCCAGCAGGGGGTGGCACATTGCCTGCGTCCTCGCCTATCACTCCACAGTGGGTCCCCTGGCCCTTGCGCACCCCGGCGCGGGAAGCCCCTCGCCCCGCGCCGCCCCGACCCGCGCCCGTGGCCACACGTGCAGCCTGCTCTCTGGCTGGCCTGGAGCGGGCCCTGGAGAGACCCCGTCCTCTCGGGGTCGAGAAATTCGTTACGTAGCTCCCCCCGCCTCCTCCATAATGTAGGCTGCGTCTTCTCGCTGGATCCTGCGAAGCCGGCGGCCCAGCAGCCGGGCCATACGCGCCGCCGCCTCTCCTCCTCGTGCCTGCCGAGCCAATCGGCGGGGAAGGACGGCGCGGGCAGGAGCGGAGGGCAGCGGGGAGGGCGATCTCCGCCGGGCCGTCCCTCTTGGCGGCGCGCAGCCGGGGCGCACGCAGCAGACGCGCCTCCGTGCGGGAGGGGAGCTCGGCGACGATGGCGCTCAGCCGGGCGCCGGCAGCTCCCTTCGCCGCGCTGGCGGCCGGGGTCGTCCTGGCGCTGTGGTGCCGCGGCTATCCCGCTGGCGCTCAGGGGGCTCTCCCCGAGGACGGCGCGGCGGCGCGGGGGCTCAGCAGCCTCCACCCGCCCTACTTCAACCTGGCGGAGGCAGCCAGCATCTGGGCGACAGCCACCTGCGGCCAGGACGAGAGCGGGAGGCCGCGGCGAGAGCTCTACTGCAAGCTGGTGGGGGGCCCCGCGGCTGCGCCTGCGGGCGAGACCATCCAGGTGAGCAACCTCCGCCCGCCGCCGAGGGGGTGGGCAGAAAAGTGCCCCAGCGTGGCGGGCCCCTCGCCTTCAGGCCGATGGCCTCCAGGGCCGAGGAGCTTTTTGGAACGCGCGGGAATCGCTCCTCTTTCGGTAAATGGCAAGGCTGCCCTCTGCTTTTCTGCGGGTCAGTCCCCTGAACGCACAGAGGTTCGCCTCCGAGTCGGATGTACCGGACGCTGCCCTGGCAGTCTCCGAATGTATGCGACGGGCTGAACTCCCTAATGATCTTCTTCTATGTTAAACCTGCTTTAACAGGTCACATAATTCCCTGGATAGTTAATGAATTATGGAAGGAGAGACCTCTGCCAGGATGTTGTCTGTAACCGGATGAGTCGCTTCTGCCGTAACTGCCTTGCTTTGCTCAACAAGCCAATTGTTGGAGCATTAAGTCTATAGTGAGTGAGATGGGGGTTTTATTCCACTTTATTGGCTGTGAGTTTATGAGGTGAGAGGAGAATAGCTATTTTGTGTGTGTGATACATGGGATGCTTATTATGAATTCAGACCAGTGTATAGCATTTATTTTGAATTAACTATTGAAATTATTTTAAATTATCTGTTGAAAAGTTGGAGGGTGGGTCAGCTGTGTATTGGCTTAAAACTGGCTCCCAAGGTTGATAGGGCAATACTTGCTGCTTCCTCTTTTGACTGTTAGGAAAAGAACCTATATGCCAATGTGTGGTTGAGCTCCTACACTATCTATCATGTAATGGATAGAGTGTTGACCTGGAATTCAGGAGATCCCTGTTTTTATCCCCATTTGGTCATGAAGCGCACTGATGCTCAGCCTAACCTGCCCTGCAGGGTTGTTGTTGTGAGGATTAATTGGAGGAGGTTTACATAAACTATCGTGGATTCCTTGAAGGAAAAATGTAGGATAGAAATGTAATGAATCGATCATAAATTATCATAAATTATGAATGATCATAAATCACATCCCTGTACACATCCTTACTCCATTTCCTCTGTGCCTGCACACTGATGGTTTCTGTGCTAGTTTTCAGCAAAATTAATTAAAAGCAGAGCTTGAAATAAGAGCGGCTATTTATGCCTAGAACTTTCTTCCCCAAGCACTCTGTTAGTGAACAAAAGTAACAGGTCACACAACTTGGAAGGAAGAAAAGAAACCTGCACTGTAAATCCTTCTTCCACGTTCAAGGAAGTTGCACTGCTCATTTGACCTGTTTGTAGCCATTGAGGTACTTGACTAGGTCACTGAGCCCCGTTTTCTGCTATGTAAGATGGTCTTTCCCAACCTGGTCCTCTTAGAATGTTTTATCCCATCATACCCCATCATAGCTAGCCATCCATACTTCTACCTGGAAATAGTGGATGTTGTAGTCCAGCACATCCTGGAGTTGGGGAAGGTTGGGCTATGGTGTGGCAGAATTACACCATGATCCACTAAACCAGGTGACAAGTCATGGAGAAATGTTCAAATGTACAGGCTGGTTTTTACAAGTACAGGCTCTCTGTCATAATCTGCCCCATAAATAACTTCTTGCCTGAAGCATCTGAATGGAGAATCCATTTGGTGTCTCTCAGGAAGGGAAATGATGAAGCTGTCATCCTATTCAGCTTTTGTATCTGGGCGTATCAGCCATCTATGGCTACAGAAAAAAAGAAAATTCAAAAAGCAACATTTCCAGGGTTGGGCTAAAGAAAATACATTCCCCCCAGGTGCTTTGGCAGTGACTTGTAGGATCTTGTCTGTCTGGCAGAGACAGAAGAAGAATAATTCTAACCAAAATGATCCATTATGCTGTGCACCATTAGTTCTGCATGTTCCTTCAAACAACTAGAACCATAAAATACAAAATGAGATGCAATAGAAAAGCTTCAACATCTAAAATGGCATTATAAAATAGAAGCAAAAACCAAAGTAAAACTAGGAACAGTACAAATATCAAAGTGCAATAATAGATTTAAAACAGAAACCACAAGACCAGAAATAGGAAGTTCTTCACCCAGTGCCAGAAAGAGCACAACACAGGTGTTAGGCAACCCCTCCCTCCGGAAGTTCATTCCACAGGGTACCACAGCAGAAAGGTACCTGCCATCTCCCTCTGCCCAATAGTAGGTCCTGCCCTGAGTACAACAGCTTTCCAGTTATAAGAGAAGTAAGAAGCATTTGTCCAGTTGTAACAGGCAGCCTGGAATTTCTTGAAGGCAAACACATGCAATTCCATGCAGATGAGTGAACAGGCTGGCAGAGGAGAAATGGTGTGCTTTTTGCTGCTTCTGCGTTCAGCAGAGACCAAGTGGGCTCTAGAGGGTAGAAGTTCCCTTTACGCCTCCTTTGCTGGCATAGAAATACAGATCTGTTCTCCTCCTCCACCAGCCTCCTGCAGGCCAGTAACTCTTGGGAGTTTATCTTCAGGGCTGTGTTAACCATCATCTCCACTGAAGCAAATCAGAACATGTGGACTAAGCTGAAGGTCCTGTTTTTGTGATGGTGTTTCTTTTCTTTCTGCTTATGAAATGAAAAGCCTGTGGTTAGATGGTGGCTTTAATATAATTCTTCAGGATATATGCAAATAGGAAAGAACAGGAGAGTTAATATTTGCACTGGAAATTCTAGGCAAGAGGTCAGTTGTGATATGTCCCTGATTCAAGTATTGGGAGATTACTTGATAGATCTGCCCTGCCACACAAAAATATGCTACCCTGCCCATACAGTGTTTGTATAAATGTGAATGCAAGCCGAGTCTTCGTCTGTTCCTAACAAAGCTTCACTAAAACACATAGCGGGAATACCTCAGTGGTTTATCAGTCCTTGTTTTGGTTCAAGAGGGGTTCCAAAAAATGGGTGGAGAAATCAACCCTAGATGTGATAACAGTGCAGCATACACATTATTACATTGTTCCAATTCTTAAACTCAAGTGAACTTTAAGCTTGATGGAAATAGAATAGACTTGCACAAAAGGAGACACTGTGTATTAAATAGCCATGGAACTGGAGATGGTTTAAGCAGGCATATTAATGTGTCCACTTCAAAAAATGGAGGTGGGAAATATGTATATTTCAGACAATAGTCATGTTGAGATAACGACAATCAACCAGTGGACATCTCCAAGATGCTGTACTTGCTTCACTACCCTTGTGGTGCATTGTGATTTTAAATGTATTTTTCAAGAAAAATATGTCTACTCCAAATTTTAAATGGATGTAATAATTTGGGCCTATAGTCCTTGAAAAATCTAAGGGAAATTCTGAGTAAGTTTCTCAATTTTTAGATTCCTTCCAAAAGTTCAGCTATGAAGGATAGTCACCTTGTATTGAGTCAGATCATTGGTCCATCTAATTCAGTATAATGCACAATAATTGTTACCAGAACTCCAGAATTCCAGGCAGGAATGTTTCCTATCCTTACCTGGAGATGCCCGGAATCAAACTGAGGACTATCCATATGCCAAATTTGTGCCTACCATGGAATTAGAGTACCATGTAGGTATATTTATTTTGCAAGGGTGGGGAATCTGTGGATCTCCAGGTGATGCTTAATTCCAACTCCCATCAACCCCAAACAACATGATCAGTGGTCAAGGATGGTGGGATTTGTAGTCCAATATTTGGAAGGCTATAGATTCTTCACCTCTGCTACATACACATTCTGGATAACATTGACTGGGGGTGATGGGAATTGTAGTCTGAAACACCCTGGGTGAGCACCAAGTTGGAAAAGACAGACAGAAGGACAGTTCATGAGGATCTTTATGAAAGCACTTCAGAATATACTCCTTAGGAGTGAGGATATGGCTTTGACCTAGACTGCTGAGATACTTGTGAGTATGTTTTGATCTGACAGGAGCTTCCAACATCACTTTGGTTTGGACTGATTCTATGCAGGGTGTGTCTGTTGTCACAGTTCCTTAGGTTGCTGTGAATTTTGGGACTGAGAACTTTGTTTCATATGCATGCATGACTACTCAAAGAGATGTGGGCAGTGAGATTACTAATACATGCAGAATTGTTTTGATTCATTTCAGCTCAAATCAAGACAATGTTCCAATTTCCTGAAACTGAGACCAGTGTACTGTATCAGACAAGCCATAGAGTTGAATGGTATTCTGCAGATAGTGCCAATGAGATGCAGAAGTGAAGCTTTTATGCAACACTTCATTTTTCTTTTGATGCCATCTTAGTTGGCAGCACTTGTGGAATGTACTTCAAATAGCTAAAATACTTGTTCTTCCAGAAGAATGTAGGTACATATTAGAACCGTTATTAAGCCAACAGAAGGTAAATTCAGAACTTAAAGTGACTCTATTAAGTCAAGTTGGCTCTTCTGCATCCTCATTTTTTAGAGTGAGGGAAAAGCCCACTTAGATTGACAGGGGAATGGGTGATGTGTCTCCTCCCAATCCCAACCTACTCCCTAACATTTTCCTCAGTGTACCGCTCCTTTAAACACTTTCCACTCTTTAGCTCTGTTGCCCCAGCAGGGCTGCTATTTTTATTTATTTATGTAGGATATTTATATGCTGTCCTTTGCAAAAGCCTCAGGAAGAGAGAGTGCTATAGGAAGAGACTGGCATCAAATTGTGGAGGTCTGCCCTCAGGAGTAAACTGCTGCTTGTATGACTTTCTTCCACCCCCTGCAAACCCTCACCCCATGTGTCTCCAGATGTTTTCTATAGCGCTTCAACTCCCCGCAGCAGGTTTGGGGCATGCACTGGGAGCAACAGGGGAAATGAGAGGATGAGGATGAGGAAGTCCTGTTCTAGGAGCAGACTTCCCCTCTCACACAGGTTGCATCCAGCCTGTATTGTTTGTAGATGCATCCCCAAACAACTGTATTTTACCCTGAGAAGGTGATAAGGAAACTTGCATCCCCTGTCCTTCTCTCACCCCTAGAACTAGGGGATTTGGGCAGGAGGGGTAGCTCTAGAAACACAGTGTCCCCTTTGTACTACTTTGGAGGGGTAGTGCCCAGGTGGGAAAGGTGTGACACAATTAAGTGCTGTCATGTTAGTCTTCCCAGGGGTCCCTTGCCTGCCCCATAATAGAAGTTTATTGAGGTCAGGCCACATTTTACAGGTAATCCACCCAACTGCCCTCACCCTGGTGCTTTTCCAGCACTTCTTCCATCTCTTTTCCTGCCATAGAAAGTATAGCTTTTAGTTGATAGATAAGATTTTTTAATTTAATTTAATTTTATTATTTTATTTCTATACCGCTCAACAACTGAAGCTCTCTGGGTGGTTCACAAAATACATAAAAAAGATACATTGTATGAAAAACATATTAAAACATCATTAAAAGCTGACAATACAAAATTTAAAACCACATATTAAACAGGTGTGTGAATATACATATATAGATACAAATAATTTAAAGGAAAGGAAGAAGGTGAAGGAGAAGGAGGAGGAGGAAAAGGAAAAAAAATTCAACCTGTTAGTAGCTAGCAGGGCCCAGAAGCTACTTGAATACTCTGCAGTAGAGGATGATCTTTACTGGGTGCTGAAAAGATAGTAAGGTTGGTGCCAGGTAGACCTCAGTAGGAAGCACGTTCCATAACTGGGAGCCACCACTGAAAAAGCCCTTCTCTTTGTGGCTGCCAACTGCACCTCCCTCAGAGGTGGCAATTGGAGGCAGGCCCCAGAACTCGAACATAGTGTCTCAGTAGAGACACTGCATTTGCAAGCAGGACAGAATTGGTGTTATATTGTCAGATTGCCTTGATCCCTATTATTAGTCTGGCTGTGACATTTTGCACAAGCTGCAGCTTCCAAACAGTCTTCAAGGGCAGCCCCAAGTAGAGTGCACTGAAGTAATCTAGTTTAGGGATTACCAGAGCATAGATCACTAAGAGCAGGCAATTCTGCCCAGATAAAAGTGTAGCTGAGCCACCATCCAAAGTTGGTGGAAGGCACTCCAACCCACTTGAGGTCACCTTGGCCTCAAGGGACAAAGAAGGATCCAGGAGCACCCCCAAACTATGAACTGGCTCCTTCAAGGGGAATTCGGCTTCATCTAAAACATGTTGAATTCCCTCTATCCATTCAGAATCCCCTACCATTATACTCCCAGCTTTTAAAAAGTAGCATGAATTCGACTAGGGCAGCGATGGATTGAGCAGAAACACTTATCCAAGCTTATCCAATACACGTTCAATATAAACTTTGTAGTGAATATCATTTTATAACTCTGCATGTTTATGTAATTGATGCTTTCATTGTTTTGTTTTCATTTGTGCTAGCACTGTCACGTTCTAATTTGGCTCTCACATTGCTTCCAGTTATAATTATAATACGGATTGTAATATTAGTAAATATTCCTTGGTTCACAATACGTAGCAGATTGCACAGTAGAAGGATCAGGTCAGTCAGCTCTCTAGTTGGCTGACCCACTCTCCAACCTGAACTCCTCAGGCAAGCTTTCTCGGCTTATACAAGTATCTCAAAGAGGCAGAGCCAACATCAGCACCACCAAGTTGCAAGCCAGCAGCGACAATCATGCTGCATATTCTGCAATGCTCCCAAAAGGGGTCACTGTTGTGGCAGGCAGTGGGGGAAGCCTCTGGCAGCAGCTCCCAAGTGCTACTAGGGCACTTGGGGTTGCGTGTTAGTGGTGCTAACCTGGCCAGCAGCAGTGGCTCTTCCTGCTACCACCAGCGCCTGGGACTGCTGGCAAAGGTGGGGATATATACCAGCAATCAGGCCTTGCTGTCTCCTCTGGCCCAAAACAGCTGGCAGCAAAGATCAAGAAAAGCCTATGACTGCCATCCTCCAGGACAGCCTGGACATTTTGTGTGTGGGGGGGGGGGGGGCTGTTTGGCAACCCAACAACTTGTTGGGTTGACCCATGCTGGGTTTTGCCAAGAGGGTCCAATGACATGAGTACCAATTGCTAGTAAAACAGGTACAAGAACAGGCCATAGGTTGTCAGGGTGGCTTATAACCCAAACTTAAGCCAAGATGGGTTAATGTGTCATGTTAATTCAGTGACCATGTTTGCATGATCACTGCAGAGGAAAAAAAATCCATAGAGGCTTTCCCCTCTCCCTCTCTCTCTCTCTCTCTCTCTCTCTCTCTCTCTCTCTCTCTCTCTTTTTGCCCCTGGTATCAGCTGCATAATTTTCAGAATTACCTTTGTGGTACTTGGGTTCCCATGTCATCCAAACCCAATGAGGTGTGTGGCAGGAGTTGCTTTGAAAACACCCCAGAACCTATGGCTTGTTCTGGGTTCTAGAGTGTTTTGGAAGCTACTCCTGTCACTCACCTCACCAAATTAATTTGGATAATATGGCAACTCATTTGCTGCAAGGGTAATTAGGCAAATTGCATTGTACACAATCAGCTGGTTCTGGGGCAAAGAAAATAAGCAGCCATAGCTGCTTCTCCCCACTGATCATGCATGGCTAGCTACTGTCTCTTTTAAGCATCTCAAACAGCTTTAACCAACCCCTGGATTTTCCAGCATCAATTTAAGTACTAAACCTGCTTCAGGTGTATCGAATTATTGCATCAATTTGTTTTCTTCTTTTTCAGGGCCAGTTCTGTGACTACTGCAATGCTGCTGATCCCAAGAAAGCTCACCCAATAACCAATGCAATAGATGGGTCAGAGCGCTGGTGGCAGAGCCCTTCTCTCTCTTTAGGTTTGAAGTATGATGAAGTCAATATCACTTTAGATCTAGGACAAGTAAGTATGGGTGTTGCTTTCCATGCTGACTTTGACAGGTTTTTTGTCTATGGGTCATACAGTGGTCCAAATACAGTAGGAACTGTTTTCTATTAGGACCATCTTTCTGTACAAACCATGTTTTGACAAGTGGCATTCTTGAAGAGTAAATAATCTAGTCATGTTTTAATAAGCATACCTTTCCAAGAAATGTTGATGGTGCTGTATTATGTATCATGACAAGTTGCATTTGTTGTCAAAATCTTAAATTGACCTCAAGCTAAACCAGAGAAAATAGGTATGGAGGGGGGAGGGATGCAATCAAAATAAAATTTACAGTTAATTCAGACATACAGGAAATACATGCAGCATGTAGGTAGCCCCCGAAGGGACTGTTAAAATGGAGTCTATAGAAGATGCTATGACCTATCAGTTACATACACAGTTTGGAGGAGCAGGGAGAGAATTAAAATGGATTAATGCAACACAAAAGGAAAAACTTTGAGGACAGGCAGACATAAGCATATGTACGGTGTATATGGGAACAAGACTTGCAAGACTTAACTCTAAAGCTGTTCTTACAGTGTTTTAGTAGCCATATTATGACTGAGCTTTCACTTGCTTTGTCCTGGCAGTGGGGTTTCACTGCCTCTTAGTTTCCATGGAACAAGAATTAATCCTCTGTCCAGTCTGCTCTAGAATCTCAGTCCAGAATTAATGTTTTGATATTTTCAGTGTTGGATTGCTTTATTGTTTAGGATACTTAATGAGTGTAAAATGTTTTGAAGGTGTCTGTCAGTTGGCTGGAACATACGCTTAATAATTATTATTAAAAGAATAAATATCTATTAAAACTTCCACCATCATGGAACTGATATCCTTTGGTTGCTTCATAACCAAATACAAATTGCCGAATATCCATGTTAAATAGTCCAAAGTGGAGTTGACCACTTTTTTCTGACCTCCCCATAATCACTCAGAGCTTCTGGCCCCTTTATTAGAACTTCATTAATTATGTCTGATCTAATATCAGAATTACATAAGCACACTCAGGTTCAGGCAGAAATTCAGAATTTTGATGGAGAGAGGAAGGCCAGCTGCAATACAGAACATTTCTTCCTGAGAGGTTCTGGCCCCAAACGACCCACCCTGCTCAACTGGTGAAGACATCTGATAACAAAGAGAACAAGGAAGTGTATGTTTAAACCTGTAAAGGCAGCTACTTATACTTGATGAATCTTTGGTCTAATAAGTTGTGCAATGACATTAGGCCAGCCCATTGATGTCGCAACCTGCTATCCATTTGGATTTTGGTAGCATCTCCTGTTTATCAGCCATTCTATATCCAGACCTTGTGACTTGGGTCTTATTCAAAAAGTTGCTACAATGGAAATTCTGAACAGAGAGAACTGTGGGTATTCAGTCCCTCATTTTATATGGGACATAAAGTACTATGCAGATGATACCCATGTATATCCAGCCATACACATATATGCTTGACTGGTATGGTCCTTGTCTTTTCCAGTGAGGAAGTTTCATGCAAGTCAACATCTAGATGTCCTTGTGTACTAACTTCTGATTATACATGATGTGTGAGATAAATGCACAATGGGACTTTCCTCCTCCACTTTCAGCAGCAGCAGGGGCTCACCCTGGTGAGGCAATAGAAGGGACCACTCTAGGCATCTGATTTCTACTACCCACAGCGTCCTCACCTACTACTACCCACATGTCAACACTTGCTTTGGAGATGGGGATTCCCCAAAAATTCATTTGAGGAATGGCAGATTCCAGTAGCAAACACAAGATACACAATTAAAAATTGTTGATTTGTTGTAACAAGCCGACAGACTCAAACTATCTGGGTGCTTTGTGAGAGGACTAGATGTTCAAGTGCAAAGAGCCTCTCCCTACTGCCTTGCTTTCCAAGCTGCCTTTGTGGTGCTCTTGAGCCCAAGCAGGGCTTTATCCACTTGACTCAGATTAGCCACTTGACATTAGCATCTTATTTGTTTTTATTTTTGGTTATTTGTTTTCCTAAGGGGGAAATTATTGCATTGTTGGAATTTATCAGCTCCATTTATACAGCAGTCAATATGTGTGCACAATTAGAGGAAAGGGGTTTCAAAACAAACAAAACATGTTTGAAATGAGCTGTTCCTCCAATTCTCTTCAAGTGGCTCTCTGCCTTCCTATGCAATACATGTAGGATTTTGGAACTTTTTTGGAGTGGGAAGCCATGGAACAAAACCTGCCACTTCTGCTTATTGTGAACAGATTAAGTGCTCCTTTGGTTTGCATTTGTGACAGGAATACTCCTAGTTACCAGCATTTCAAAGTGCATTGTTAAGCATTTTCCCTGACCATGCCAGTTATTGATTCTGACTTTGTTTACAAATAATTAAGCAGAGAACAGTTGGAGGCAGATGCCAACAACAGACTACAGACCATCAATCCTCAGTGAGATTTCTAGTGAGAGCCACTTCAGCCACAAAGATGTTTACATAGCTCCTTGTCTCTTGGCTACCTGTTTGCAAATTTAAAGTAGTGATAAAATATTTCTTGGCTTCTGCCAGTTGTTCTCTCACCTTCAGTTGTTTTTAATCTCATTTTTTGTTCCCCTTGGTGAGGACATTTGTGAATTTGGGCAGGTTCTTTTCAGATTTAAATTGAACAAAATTCTCATGAATTCATACTGGTTAAACTCAGCAGGTACATCTGCTCTGCACATTGAAAGGGCCATGTTATATTTCCCTGCCATATAGAGTTGATATTCTGCCAGAAAAAGAGATGGTAATTCTAATTCAGCACCATCAACCTGGCAGAATGTATACACAGACTTTTAAGAGCTAAACACTCAAAGTCCTCCATGTGCATGACTGAATCTGGCCCCTTTGCTTTCTCCGATATGTGATGTTTCAAAAATCTCACTGTTACTGTTTCACCAAATTGTGCTCAGGCTTATCTACATCACTGTTCTCAGTGGGATTAATTTGGATTTTCATTGTTGCTCCCTGATAATGAACTAAGCATATGCATAAGTGCATGCACAGACAAGTGTGCTTATATACATGCCCCTGAAAGGTCAGTAGAGTGCATGTTGAAATACTTAAAAGGGTGTTGGAAAGATGATGGTGCAATTGACACTAGAGACCATGGATTTAGGCTACAGTTTGGAAACTGTCCCAATTATCAAAGCAATTAAGCAATGGAATGCACTGCTAAGGGAGTCTATGATCTGCTTCCTTGGCTGCTGACAGAAGGTTACATAAGTTCATGGAGATCATTTAGTTATGGCTACTTGGTCTATGGCTTGTAGGTTACATGAAATACCCTGCCACATCCCATCCTGGTATATCATGCACATCATCAAGTTTTGTATGTCCAGAGACTGTTAGATTTCAAGCTGGTGACTATTGGGGAATATAGAATTTTATTTGGGGGTAGAAGTGTTTGTGTGCATGCATTTTTGCTTTAATGCATTTGGAATACTTTACATCTCGATCATTGAAATATTATTTACCCAGATTCACTGTATCACTCTTACTATGTCTCAGTTTGTACACTTTGCCAAACCTATAGTGCTATACATTGTCAAATCTATGGGGTTATACAGTGTTAATCTGAACATGATTAGATTAAATGCATTCTTAATGGACAGCATCCAGCATGACTGCTTTGCCTCTGCAGAACTTTCTTCTTCAAATGCTGCTAACCTGCTCCATTCTGGAGACTAGAGTTTCAACCCATCTCAGGTTATTTATGGAAGCATGAATGTTCTGCTGTGTAAGTGAATGATCCCATGATTTGGCACCACAGGATACCACCAGGTCCCATGACCACTTCTGTGGTGGTGCTTGTTTCATTTCTAGAATGTTGGTATCTAGAAAGATGTTACAAGGCCATTAGCCATTCGATGGAATTGAACTACATGCTACTTGGCAAGTCCCAAAGCTCTATTTTTCTCCTAGCTTTGATTGCCTTTGGCCCTAGTTCCAAGAAAAAATAGTCTAAAAGGTTGTGGGAGCTCATTTGAAAGAATTGCCTATTTAGAGAAGAGGTCGCCACCCCATCCTATGCATTAACTCTCTTCTGCAAATCATACCCTCATGAATTAATGACAAGGAAGGTTCAGGTCCTGTTTGCCTTCAGATCAACAAAACATTTTTCCTGATTTATTTTGCCCCTGTCTGATCAGTACTTTATGAGACCTGTATAGATTGGGAGTACCTTGAAAATAGTTACCTTACCTCCTTCACTGTGTTGCAATGCCACAGTCTCCATGTTTCACTGATTTTCTGGTTACTCATCATTGTATTATTAAGCAACTCACGACAAGGATGAAATCTCAGAAGAAAGTTTTGACATGGACATTCCCCACTTTCATGGCCACCCCTGTAGGATGAAGCAATCAGCCTCAGGCGTCTCTTAGGGAGAGGAGTATAGAACTGATAAAAGCAGGAACAGGTATTTGAATGGTAAGGCAAGACTCTTTGCACTCTGATTCAGATAACAAAATGTTTTGGAGCAGTATTGTCTACACAGCTGGTTTATAACACACAGCTTTGAAGAACCGCTAGTATGAGATTGCCCTCTCCTAAAGGCACTATCTGTGTGAATGTCCCTTGGCTGTAGTCACCTTGGATTTCTTATCAGAACAGGCATTGTCCTTGAACTTTGTGCGTTGCTTCATTGGCTTAAAGCAAAAGTAGGCAAACTGGTACCCTCCAGCTGTTTTGGATTACAACCCCCGTAAACCCCACCCATCATGACCAATCGTTAGGGGTTTGGTATACACTACATGGTGCCAGTACCTACAATTTCTTCGAAACCACAGTCTCACATACAGACCAGAAGTCCACTGGACCTGGGGGAAAGGCCTCTTTTCCTATCCCAACCTGGATCCTAGAAAAGGAGAGCAAGGACATTCATATTGACATACATGCAGCTCAAACTGGGCAAGTGAAGGCATAGCATGGATCCAGAAGGAGATGTGTCCCAGTACATGCAATCCTTAGCCTTCAAAACACCACCTGACATGGCACAGTTCTCATATTTTATTGGCTGGAGGTTGTCTAAGATAGACGATCTTTAGAATTCTTTAGAACTGAGGGTTGTAAATGGCAGAAATGGTCCTGTCTGGAATCTGGTTCCTGAGAGAAGGTGTTCTTCACAACATGACTCCAACATCTGGTTCCTTCCCACATTTTAAAATCATAAAGTTGATATCCTTCTAATGATTTACCATACATTTTCTTCCACCCTCTCTGTGATATCTGGCCTTTCCCTTTTAGTAACAGTTCATTGCTGTTGCTTCAGCATATCTCCTCTTCCTTTCTGCTGGCCTTGCTTGCAAAGGAAAAGCCATTCATGCTCCATTTACATTTCCCCCCCACATATATAACTCCTGACAGAACAGGGACAACTGACAACAAAATTCCATTGAATTTATTAAAAAACAAAACCTCTTCCTGAGTATTTTCAGCAACTGTGTGAGACAACAAAGAAACACATCTAGAAAGTACCTGAGTGAGAAAGTCTGTTGCAGTTGAACTTGTGCAATGTGTGTTATTGCAGTAAGTACAAGGGGTGTTTTTTTGTTGGTCTTTTTTTTTTTTTTTTTTGCTTGTCACAAAGACTATATGTTGAAATACGTTGGGGACATCCAATGCCGCAGAGATCCCACTTTTGCACATGAGTTTGAGGTTTTGCTGCTTTTACTTTTCTTTTTCTTTCTTGGATTTTTTCCCATTTCCTTACAGTCTGGCACTCTGTGTTCAGCAATGACTGTGCCATGTTCCACTGGGTAGTTTGCAGGGAGAACAGGATTATCTGGGGGCAGCTTGACTGCTATTTTGCTGTTACTGTATTGTAAAAATAAAGCAAGTGCTGATTAGTTTTTATCCAGAAAGACATAAACATGCACGCACACACCCTACATAAAAACCCTTAAGCAAATGGCATAATCCTCAAAGACCACAATGAAACTATTTCAAGTTCTATTGACAACACAGGCTTTAACATTACTCATGCCTTGGCAAACCTCACTGTGTCATTTTTATGTTATACAATAATACACATTAATATGTGTTCAGTACAGTTGTGGTGCTTCCTCCAAGGTTTCTAATACTGCAAATTTATTTCAGACCACCTATTTTAATTTGACTATGTGATAATGTTTATAGTATGTTTACCAAAAAAAGTCCTTGGTATGGTGAATTGGTCCATTCTGAACAGTAAATGCAAATGAAAAATATGCAGGGACCAGATTCTGGAGGTTTATAAACAAATGCAGGACTTAAAAGTTTCAAGCCACCATTTTCAAGGGTGGTAATTGCAGAAGAAAATGTTCTGTAGAAGCAGGCAGGCATTACGGAGCTTCCTCCTTCACGGCTGCAGTGGTATGGGCAAGGAAAAGCAGCTTGGAGTGGCTCAGCACAGTAGTCTTGAACTCGAAGACAGTGTGCTCTCATGAATCTTAAACGAGCTGCAAAAGAAAACTGAGGAGAAATCCCCTCTCTAGACACTGGGAGATGCTGAACAGGGAAAACAGGATCTGGAAGAGGGGGGAAAGGGGGAGAAGAGTCAGGAGAGTTGGGCCAGTGGCTGTTGTAGTGTAGCTCTTGGCCATATGAAATTTGGGCATGAACCAAGCATACTAAGGCCAGTCATGTGCTTTGCATCATGTCTAATTTGTATTCTTTCCTTCTGTAGCTATATGTTTTAATGCTGTAAGCCATCTAGAGAGCCTTTTTGGCCAATGATGGTATAGAAATTTTATAAATAAATAAAAATAGGTCCTTATATCTCAGTCAGGAGTGTTGCTTAACTAATGGTATGATCTTATCCCTCATGGATCCCTGTTTGGCAGGAATAGGATCACTTGCAGAAGTTTGTTTGCTGGAAGGACTTTAAGCAATAAACACCATTGCATCTTATATTAGAGTTCTCATAGTGAATGTACCATGTTTTCCCGAAAATAAGACTGGTCTTATATTAATTTTTGCTCCAAAAGATACTTTAGGGCTCATTTTCAGGTGTGTCTTATTTTTTCTTATGACAGCCATAAGATTCTTGCCCTGAGAGTCCTCCACGATTCCTTTCTTGTACTCAACGAAATAGCTCTTTCTTCTTGCATCCATCTTGCATTTTGCATCCATGCATTAAGTACATCCATTACAACACACGACTTATTGACGTTATCCATGTGTTATGTCTGTACTCTTATTGGTCATTTGGCAATAAGTCTCAAGTTCATCTGTTCACATAGGCGTTTACCTCTTGTCCAAAGGCACCTACTTTGGTATTTACAAACACAATTATAATGTATATTATAATTTATTTTAAGTATTAATGTCAATAATATTATTTATATTTAATTATATATGAACATCAGTATTTTATAATTCTGTACATCTATTGTGTGTTGCAGCAGATGTACCACTATGTTTCCCCATCCGTCTGGCTGATGATATTAACTGGGGCTTATTTTTGGGGTAGGGCTTATATTATGAGCATCCTGAAAAATCATGCTAGGCCTTATTTTCCAGTTAGGTCTTATTTTTGGGGAAACATGGTATTACCCCACTGGAACTGCTTAGGGTAGCCATTTTGATAGATGCCATTTCATCTGCCCTATTGTTTTCTCAAGAAGTTACAGAATTAGCATTACATATTTCAATTGTCTTTATATGAATTTTGTTATCAGTTCTTTCATGTGGCCTATATCCTCATCAAATTTGCGAATTCTCCTCGACCGGATCTGTGGATATTAGAGAGATCAACAGACTTTGGAAGAACATATACAGCATGGCAGTATTTTGCCCGTGAGTGTCACTTTAACAACTTTTTAGGAAGGACTTATTTATTTATTTAAGATATTTGTATGCCGTCCTTTGCAAGAGCCTCAGGATGGCTTACACAAATAAAATACAAATACCTAACATAACATAAATTGATTAACAACTCACTCTGGCTGCAATTAAAATATGATAAAATTCAATATTAAAACTTATTAAAATATTGATTAAATAAAAAGGTCTTAACCTGGTGCCAAAAAACATATAATGACAGTGCCAGCTGGACCTCTCTGGGGAGTGCATTTCATAGACTTCATGTTCTTTTGACAGTAGTAGAAAGTATAACATTTGTGGGAGGTTAATAGAGTAAGAATACTGTGCAGTATCTTGAAGTTCTAAAATCTCTCTGGCAGTATTTAAAAAAGACTCTTTGTACTACAGTTCTGGTCCTCTTCAGAAACACCACTAAACCATATGAGGGAGGAGATGAAAAGCTTCAATTTTAATTTTGAATATATCATGGTTTCCTGTTGCATGCAAATTGTAGTTATACTAACTGTGGTTAGATCAGACTGTGGTTTCAGGCCTTCATTAACTAATCATAGTAAGCTACAATTTCAAAGTTCAGATGAGATGGGAATTTACAATTTATTGAAAGTTTAAATAGGAACTTTAATCTCCTCCCTTTACATACAAACAGAGGGAGAGAAGAATGGGTGCATGCAAACCCATGATTACCATTATATTCGAACCAGTTTCAAGTACTAATGACAACCTCACCATAATGGTAGATGTGTTTACAATTTTCTTGTGTAACCATTTTAGAGATTATGACTACAAACCTATGAAGAAGAATTAAGGCACAATCTTATGCAAATTTAGATAAATCTGATTTTTTAAAAAATTTAGATACAAATTCTGGCATGCCCCAGCCAGAATAACCGATTTTCTGCCTAACCTTGCATACAATTAGTTGGTCAGTTACATTTGTATGGGCTAAGTGTGCTAGACTCTGCACAGGATAAGGCTGAAATATTGGAGTATAATGTATAATTAAGGCACAGGTAAGGCTATTTGATATCAGTGGGATATCCAACTTGTGTATTGGATTGTGTCTGTTATATCCTAAGGTTTTAATGAGGTGGGATACAGCTCTCTTCAAAACAGGGCTAAAGTGGAAATCCCATCTCAAACTGTATGCCCTACTTCTTCCTTAGCCATTTCTCTGACTTGAGCTCATTAAAACGCCACTAAACATTTGTGAAAACAACAGTGGAAGTTAGGGTGGTTAAGGGGCAAGACTTGAATTACAAGGGTTGTCCCCTCTTTAGCATGATCTGCCATTGTGATTGGATGATACCTTGCATGTTGATGGTGAATAGAAGCCACACTTAAAATATACCAGAAACTGATACAGAGCCAGTGTGGAATAGTGGTTAGAGTGTTGAACTGGGACTCTTGAGCTCCAGGTGCTAGTCCATACATGGCCATGAAGCTCAATGGGTGACTTTGGGCCAGTTACTGACACTCAGCCTAACTTACCTCAAAGGTTTGTTGTGAAATAAAATGGGAGGAGGAGGATTACGTAAGCTGCCTTGGGTTCCTTGCAGGAAAAGGCTGGATGGAAATATAACAAATAAGTAAAAATGGTTTCTTTTTATTAGATTCTAAAGCAGACTGTTGGGAACGTTATGGAAAAGAAGCTAATGCTCGTATTAGGAATGATGATGATGTCATTTGCTCTATAGAATATTCTCGGATTGTACCTTTAGAAAATGGGGAGGTAAGTTCTGGACAGCAATAGCAATAAGAAATGACTTTATTAACCTTAGATCATTCTTCAAATGCTCAAGAGATGTCATACACATTGTATCATTATTTGTGCCATAACAATCTTATAAGTCAGGAGATGAGACCTTAATGACCAATGAACAATTTCCTTTTTATCTGCAACTACCATTAGTAGCCATTTCATCTATCTGCATGTTCTGTGATGTACCACACTGGTGAACACCTTGGTCTAGGGATTCGTGCTTTAGGATTACAAGCTACTGTTCCTTTCCCCCACACATGCTTTCACACTCCCTAAAATGAGTTAGCATATGCACTGTTGTGTTGCGCCCACAGCAACTTTGTAAGGAAACAAGGTGTTCATGCCTTCTTCCCAAACAGAATCATGGTCACGGAAGTGTCCCAAAAGTGTGGTTTTTCTCAAAAAGAAGGCGTTCTGTCCCCACACCCTTGTTTCCCTGCAAAATCATTGTTCTTTTCCTCTTCCTTTTTGTTGTTTCCCATAGCTGCACATCTAGTGTTAAATGTAGCAGGAACAGCAATTGTGGTAGCAGAAGAACTGTGGCAAGGAGACCCTAATTTCCTGCCTCTAATTAAATAAACAGATTGGTCTTGAAGTAGTAAGCATTCATTCATAAATACAATCTCTTTCCCTCTAAATGCCTATTAGCATGGGTGAAGGTTCCAGTCAGTTCCTAAAATAGCATCGTTCCAAGAACGGAATTCTGAGTTTGTAGAGCTCATTATTCTACAATGAACTCTTGTTCAAAAGAACTCTGCAACATTTTCTTTCATCATTAGAAAAACCTGCTTATGGGGAAATTCCACAACAATATTTGTGTGTGTGCATGTGTGGAGTGGGGGGAGGGGGGGAGGCTGCTGTCATAAAAGCCATTAATTAGAAGACCTCATTTGCCTCCAGTCATCACTTACATCATGACTCTTTGAACTAGATTTGAAAAATAAATGCGCACGGGTCAAATCTTCTGTATTGACTCATCTTTTAATAACACAACTGATGATGAGGAATATAAAAATAACTATTATATTTGTGATCATTACAGCTCTTCTTTAAACGGCATGAAGGATGAAACCATTTCTGATCTGAATATTTTCTGGGCATAGTGTGAGGACATACTGGGGATTCTTAGATAGGGCAAATGAACTGGGTTTCTTCAGTGCCCTTTAAGACAGGACCTAGTGGCTACTGGGGATTCCCCATAGGGCCTGAGCCACAGAAGGGAAAGCTCTTATCTCCAATCAGCAGGCCTGTTTTCTCTGTGCTTGACAGGGGAAAGTAGTTGTCTTTAATCAGCCGCTGATCAGAAATAAGAGTTTTTCGCTATAGGGCAGATGGAGTGGAGCCAGTGGGAGAAGCTGCAGAATGAGTCAAGACTATTTGCTTCTGAGTACATATTGCAAAGGCTTGACCTGCTTATTTGTGACTAGACATTTCATTTTCTACATTATCAATTTTTAGTAGCTCATGCTCTTTACTACAATTGGTAATGATGTAAATTGGGACTAGGGGAGGTGTTTCAGCTCTTCCGAGATGAGTCTGTGGCAGGCATTGCTCTAGAGAATGCAATAAAATGTTTGTAAGTTTACAATGGCTCTCTGTTTATTTTTCTTTCATTCATTAGATTGTGATATCCTTGATAAATGGCCGTCCAGGAGCAAATAACTTCACCTTTTCTTCCACACTTAAAGAATTTACTAAAGCAACAAATATTCGTTTGCATTTCCTAAGAACCAATACCCTTCTTGGACACTTGATATCTAAAGCTCAACGAGATCCTACAGTGACACGCAGAGTGAGTGAACTTTCCTTTTTGAGTGTGAAAATCATGCTGGATCTAAAGAGGCCCTAAATCCACTCATTGCATATACAATATTTCCCTGATGCATAGAGCTTCCCTATATGCAACATGCTTGTGTAGTTCAAGTTAGTTTTATCTTAGCGGAGATGGATAAAACATTCCCTTTTATGAGAAGCAAGGAGGAGGAAACCTTTAGGTGGAATGCTCCACAGAAAAGTGTCCATAGTATTGGCCACCAAGAGAGCGTGATGCTACTGGGCGGCTTTCAAATAAATTTAATGAATGAATATTATATCTTAGGGTACAGCTACTTGCTTGAGGACTAAATGCTCAATGACTCTAAAGTATTTCTGTCTGTGTAATCACATATATGGAAGAATTTATTGATCTGTCAAATCCATTTCTCCTTGCTCTAACAGGCAGTAGCTCTCGAGAGCATTAGGCAGAGAGGTCATTCCCTGCCATCCTATCAATGCGTAAAAAAAAATCAAGACTGTTTGCATGCAAGAATCTTCTGTGTCACAGAGCAACAGCTCCTTCCCATGGGTGTGGCACTATAGAATTCTCTATATTCTGACAGAGAAGTTTGCTTTTGCTTTTGCCCTGTTCTTATCTGGCGAAGTAAATCAATATTGTACTCTTGGAATGCCGAATACATGAGATGAATTAAACTGCTATAGAAGACCTGCATGAAAAGAATCTGCACGGGGACAGGAGGCGTTATTTGATGACCTCTTGGTTAATCCCATTTGTGTGATTCCTTGACGATTCATGCTGTTTCTTATTATAAAGTTTACCTAAAGCAAACATGCACTAAAGAAGGAAACTGTATAAAAAAAAGGAATGATTTGTCACACATTAACTATTCGTTTATCTACCAAACAGGAAACATGAGTGTGTTGCTTATTTTCACATCTTCAGAACGGGGAATTCCACATTTTCTGTTGAGTGGTCCTTCCATTAGGAAAAAGAAAGATGGAATGCCTACATTCTGAAGCATGAAAGCTGAAAGCACAAATAACTCATGCCTCCTGAGTATACCACAGGATTTGTATTGTCTAAAACCTTACTTTTTGCCAATAATAGAATGCATACTGTCATATTCCTCAGGGACTCAGGAAAGTAGACTGAATATAGTTTTATCAAAACAACTTCAGCATCAATGTGATGCTTAAGTTAACTTAAGGTGAGGTCTATCTCAACTTAATGGCAACTTGACCAAGTCTAACTTGTTGATAGACAGAGGACTTGAGCCCTAAATAAAATCCTGGGTTCCAACTGCTTCACATTCTAGTATATTAGAACTGCTAGAAAAACATGGAATAAACTTATAATAGTTACACACATATGAAGCAGTATTTGTAAGTTAAAAATAATTCCCCTGCAGATGCAACTTTTTGCCTTTCCTGGTTACAGAGGATAAGGTAGCAAACATGATTCCTTTTCGCCTTCTCTCTGCCAGTGTACGTCAGTTCAGCTCAGGTAGGGTGGAGAATCTTTCTCTCACTTTATTAACTGTACACAGAACTTGTTATATCTATTGACTTTTTCACTGAGTCAGCCCAAACTGAGTAAAGCATTGTTTGAGATACGTCTATTAATGGCAGGGAGTGGTGCTAAGATAGCAAGTCCTTAAGCTCTCTGTATACCATTTGGGTTGGTGGTGCTTGTACATTACCACTCATAGCCCAAATCCAATCTATATTTAGTCAAAAATAAGTCCACTGTGTGCCATGGGACTTACTTACACATTGGTGCGTATAGGAATGCCACCTTGCAGTGCAAACCTCTGGAAAATTACTAATAATTTTGAGTTTAGAAGAGAGCAATTCTATGGCACATGGACTTTGCCTGTGAGGCCACAGGATGCTGTGAGTTGCCCCTTCCAAGGGGCACTGCTTCAGCCTTGGAAAGGGGTAAGCTACCACCATTCCCTGTCCCCTTGCAGCCAGTGGAGAAATAACCCTGCCAGCTGTCCTCCAAGGTCAGAAAAAGAGAATGGTGGGAGAAGGATGGTGGGCAGGGTGGGGAAGAGACCACAGTGGCCAGCATAGGAAATATCCTGAAACCTTCCTTCCTTTTCAAAGTTCCCTTCCTAGGGAGGCAAAAAGCCAATCTAGCAAAAAAACTTCAGGGCAGGACAGGGAAGCAAAGATGGCCTCCACTACTCCTCTCACCCTGTTTTGGAGGACTGTAAGCTTCTGATTTCAGAATCAGATGGCACAACTGATTGGACTGTGTCCTAAAACAAGTATACATTACCTTGGCCTCTTGACCAATATCCTGTATATTGAAGGGGAAATTGCTTTACCTGATTCCATCTTCAGCTGATACTGGTCTAATGTCAGATGGTTGACATCTGACTTTGAAACCATGTCTTTGCCAAATAGGTATTGAAGGTATTGCCTAACGCATCATTTTCAGAATCCTATTTTGAATAGGAATGTAGCCTTTATGGTTCTGTGGGAAAGGAGTTGGAAATGCTATGCAAAGAAGGCTCAGAAACAAATGGGATCCTTAGATTTTGGTGTACTGTGGATTGTAGGCAGGTGCTTCCCATCCTGAAAATTCAGCCCCAAATTTGTACAGTCCATTGATTTGGAGTGTTTAGGTTTCAGACAAGATAGAATGCAATCGGAATGAAAACATACTGGGAATCCCTACATGCACTCCAGTGCAGTACCTACAACTGTCAGTTGATGTTTGATTTTTTTAAAGAGAATGCCAGAATGTCATTTTATGTTACCTGAGCTTTAGTTCATCAAGGGAAAATATCTTGCCTAAACTGAAGAAGCTCATTCTAAGAACAGAGCTAACTCCAGTTTTGAGCTAATATTGTCTACACTGTAGATGGTAGCCTAGCCAGAACACTTTATCCCTTGCATTGTGGTTTAGATAAGGTTGAAAATGAGACTCTTCCTCATTCTTTGTTTAATTGTCCTCTGATGCTAGACATTAAGGAACAATACCTTGCTGGATTGCTAATAATTGGAACAAACTGCTCAGTTTGCCAGGAGATGCTTTCTTGCTCAATGAGAAGGACATGAACATCTTGAAAAGAATCACCACTTTCCTAATGGCATTAGCTAAAGGTCACAGTAGACTTAAGGCAGATTAATTAGGCTGTTTTGGAGAAGATTGATTTTAATACTTAATTTTAAGCCATGCATATATTTATATTGTTTTTATTTATATTTTACATTGCTTTATATTTAAATGCTTTATAGCATATCTACAAATCTCATTTCTGTTATCTAGTACTACTACAGTATAAAAGACATCAGTGTGGGTGGACAGTGTGTTTGCCATGGACATGCCAATGCCCGTAATGCAAAAAGTAACCCAGATTCATAGCATATATTTATATGCTATATGGGGTATTTTATACCTTAATCTTAGTTTGTCACACCTGAATTATTAGTCATGTCCTTTCATTTTTAAAAACTGGCTTGCATTTACTTTTGTAATATTCTCGATGCTTTCTTTCAGTTGTATTGTGGTACCCTAGGTGGTACCCTAGATGGCGAACCTTTTAGAGACTGAGTGCCCAAACTGCAATCCAAAACCCACTTATTTATCACAAAGTGGCAACACTGCAAATAAAACCTGAATACTGAGGTTTTATTTTAGAAAAAACAACTCACAGCCAGTCCAAGCAAATATATATATCACTGGCAGCGCACTGACAGGCCATGCGAAAGCTCGGACAAGACACGGCTAATGAGTTGTGGCTCGTGATGTCATTGCCTGGCGCTGCTACTCCTTTCCAAGAATGCGCATGGCCCCTATGTGTGCTGTTATCCAATGCTTGGCTGCTGGGGCGATGCTGGAGCAACTTGGCTCGCGTGCCAACAGAGAGGGCTCTGCGTGCCCACTGTAGCACACATGCCATAGGTTCACCACCACTGTCCTAGGTTATAGACAGTAAAACTGAATTTAATTGAAAACTGTAATAAAGTTTTAGAAAGCTAAAGGACTGAAGGACTAAAGCTGAAGAACTAAAGATTATCATCAGAATGTACAGTATTCTAAGAATCACATAACTGTACTAACTCGGTATTCCTTACAGTCCTCTTTAAAATAAGCCAATATTATCATTATCCTCCTTGTAAAGACTGGTGGAGGTGAGACATCAGTGTTTGCCTAAAGACAAGCATTGAGCTCATGGTTAAACCGAAAGAGCTGAATTGGAAACTATCCAATCTAAAAATGCGTTTTTAAGTAATGCATCTTGAGGGGAAGGTATTGGGTCATGTGTCTATTTTGCTAGGAAGTTTATACCATCCTACATAAGACACTGATGACAGTTTCACTCAGCTACTGATCTACAAATCTCATTTCTGTTATCTAGTACTACTACAGTATAAAAGACATCAGTGTGGGTGGACAGTGTGTTTGCCATGGACATGCCGATGCCTGTAATGCAAAAAGTAACCCAGATGCATACAGGTAAGGAAACTACACTGTATGGTCAAAAGAACTGTATTTTTCTAAATGACATTATGGCTGTAAAATGATGGTAAGACTCAAAGTCTAGCCTAAGGAATCAATCCTAGACTCCCTGGAAGTGTGTCCCTGGGGCCAATGGATAGGATTTGGTGAATTTCCTCTCTAAGAACAGAGGGAGGATGGGAGGTTCATCTTTAAAGGGAGAAATCCACTCGCAGATCCCTCTTTCCATCTACCAAAACAAGCTACTAATGTGAATGTCAAATGAGAATTAATGCCTTGGACATCTAGGTTCCAGTGTGAATGTCAGCACAACACTTGTGGGGAAACCTGTGACCGTTGCTGCCCTGGATTTAACCAGAAACAGTGGCAACCTTCAACAACCAGCAACCCAAATCTGTGTGAACGTGAGTAATATAGAAATATGCTTTCTGAATGCTAAGGGTGGTTTACAATGTGAATAGATGGATGGTCTAGTATGCTCAAAAAAGTTCTATGTGGTACTCATAACCAGTGTGGAGTTTCCTGGTCACTTGTGCGTCCTGAGAACTTTACATACTTGATCAGTCTTCCTAACAGCATCCCTGTCTTAATGAAGTGTATTGTTCTCTTATATCAGCCTTTCCCAACCCAGAATCACCCAAATGTATTGGACTTCAAGTCCCATCATCTCCATCCTGGAGGTCCACTAAGTTCCTAGAATCATAGAATAGTAGAGCTAGAAGTGACCAATAAGGCCATCAAGTCCAGTTTCCCTGCACAATATGCTGCAGTCCAACACATGTGAAGGGAAGCAGGTTTTTGAAATCTGGCTTACATGATCAGGTGGGTGAAAATTAAGTGTGAATAATTAGACATAGTCTAGACATAGTCCTGCTACACCTGATTTTTTTTAAACATGTAATGCCAATGTGGCTAGAGCATCTAGTTCACTACAAGCTCCAGTAATCTGGTGAACAATATCATGGTCTTTCTTCATGGCTTAGTTTGTACCATGTCCTGCTAAGCTGTCTAGAGGGGAGGACTCAGTCTGCAAATACCTTTATATAGAACAGGTATTGGCATTTCGTGCTCATTCAGATATCTCTGAACTTTGGATTACAACATCCATCATCCATAACCAGCACAGTCAGGGGTAAAAGATATAGCATAGAAAATCAGCTTCAAGGTAAAGGTGATGCATCTTTTAGGAGGCTTGAACCATAGGAACAGTTATTCAGAAATCACTTGCTAGGTTTTTTCCCTGTCTAAACAAAAATGGATGCTTATCCTGGCTTATCTACAGAAATAAAGCAAGACTGGTGACCCAAAGGAGTTTTGGCACTGCAAAAAGGCTATGAGCTGGATGCAGATTTAGTCATTGCTAAAGGAAGACTCATTTAGATGAATGGGAATTGAGTCATTAACGGCTAGCCTCTTGGCATCAGTGGGACTTAGTCATGTCCAATGTCCAATTTAAGCCCCACCGATTTCCAGAGATGCACTTCAAGTATGACTGCCTGGAACCAACTCTACAAAATGGTTCTATGCTGTTGGTAGAGCACAGAATTAGCAGTGGTTTAACTGGTTTCAAGAGGACATGCCCATTAATGATGACTGTTTAACTCTTTGTATCTTGTTCAAATCAAACAGGAAGTGTTCTTTTCTGGAATATACAGTAGTCCCCCAAAATTCATGGGGGTTACATTCCTAAAGCACACGCGAATTGTGAAAAACCGTGAATTTGGTGCCGGCGATAGGTGCCAGCCGGGTGTAGCGAGGCAGGGACAGGGGTGGGCGCGTGCAGAGATTGTTTTCCCTGAGCGAGTCCAAACTCGGAGGAAACAATCTCCTTACGAGTAAGCTGCCTCACGGCGAGGCGCCGGCTTACTCGCAAGGAGATCGGCTTGTACTCGCTTGGAGAAAAATTCCCTGAAAGACTGAAGCCGCGAACACTGAACCACGACTTCACGGGGGTATACTGTAATTCTGACAAGCAATAGAGACATGATTTGCAAATATAAGCTGCAGTTTGGATAGCCATGTGAGGGGTAGTGAAGTGTGTACATGCCTATAGATGGATATGACACAGCATAAAAAACTTAGACTACTGTACAAACTTTTTGGGTTGAGCTGCCTAAATTGTGAAGCTTGAGAATGACACACTTTACAAAGACATTTGGTAGGAAGTAGGTATGTTAGAATAAACAGAATCTGAATTCCACAAGGATGATATGGAAGAAAAAGAATCTGCTTTTATCTAAAAGATAGTGTGTGCAAAATAAGTAAATAATGTGACGTATCTTTTAAAGCAGCATTAAATAAACCATCATACAGAAACATTTGAGTCCAAATACTAAATTTTTAGCTTATATGACACATTTAGAACAATGATATGAGCACTCACATTTATGGGATGACACTTTCTGCTGCCTACCAGAATCAAGCTCAGTTTTACAAAACCTTGGAATAATTTTATGGGGGGAACCAGTCTGCTGTAGGAAGCGAAAAAGGGTAACAGCAGCTAATATGTATTTGGGACAGGAGGGGTAGCATATACTTGAACTAAGATTGAGGATTAGGGGCTAAGCAGCCTTCACCTGGTGACCTTTGGATATTTTAGATTTCAATCCCCATCAGTCCCAGCCAGCATGGTTCCGAGCTAGGGAAGCAAAGCTAAGGCTGTCACCTAGATATGGAGATGTCTGTACAGATATCTGGCTCTAGATACTTAGAGGAGCTTGGAACTACCATCATTACTGGTTGAACTGCAGATAATCACAGAGAAGGAGTTAAAATGCAGCCAGCAGAAAACTGTTGAAAAAGAGCTATTTCTTTTCCTAGAATCCCAACCAGTTGGGAAAGAAAGGAAGTTGCTGAAGCAAGGCGTCATCTGCTCTGCTGCCATTGTTCCAGAGGCATGGTCTGATCTCAGCTTGCTCATCTGGCTGCCTGCCCTTCTTCCCATCTCCTCTAAGCAGAAAAAAATGTCAGGGCAGTGCATTTGGCAAAAAAGTGAGCTCAGGCAGATGCTGCCCTTGCTTCTTGGGATGCTATTTTGGCTTAGAAAGTACAAAGATAGCTAAAAAAGAGACCATTTTACGTTTGGCAATGCAGCATTTTGAGTCTACAGAAGTTTCCCCCTTGTAATAAAGTTAGTGAGAAGGTGGTGAGTGAAAATGACCTATGGCTGCACAGTGTCAGACTGAACAGACTGCAATGACCTTGTGACTACTAACTTCGTGTTGTATGGCGAACTGGAATGCTTTTCTTCTTTGCTCCTTTGTTCAATCACGCCACTTCTGTAATGAAATCTAATCAGCAATTTCTTTCAGCCTGCAACTGTCATGGACATGCCACTGACTGCTATTATGATCCTGAAGTTGAACGACGCAGAGAGAGCTTAAATGTCTTTGGAAATTATCAAGGCGGAGGGGTCTGCATTAACTGTCAGGTAAAATAGGAATCCCCCCACCCCATGTCCTTGTAGGCTGCAACTAAGTATGACTTGGAAACAGGATACCAAAAATATTTGCTCTCTGTCGGAGAATTGGACCTGATTTTCATCATGCAAGATATTATCAAGTTTGTTCTGCAGCTACATGATCCTATACATGGTTACTGTTTTTGACAGAAGTATTTTTTAGTGGCATGTTTGGAATTACATTCTAAAACCTTTAATCCTAAACAATGTATTAAAACTCCCCAACTTTTTTATAATGCAGTAGAATAAAGCATTCATATGATACATGTAAAATCTCAACACTTGACCTACATGAGATATGCAGATAGTTCTTTTTTATCACAAGCGATCCATTGAAACAACTCCTTTTACAGGAATATCAAACTGTTCTTAATTTACTTAATTCTTTATTATGAAACCATTAAATATTCTTGAAAGCCATTAAAGACTTTTTGAAAATATGAGTCAAAGTATTTCATTGCCTCCAAAATAGAGCTATGAATGCCTGAAATAAGGTACCTAGAAACACTCCCATAAATGTACATCTCTACACCAGAATGGGGGCTCATGCAAACACCTGCTCACTTGATATATCAATTTCAACCATGGAAGGTTTATGGAAGAATCTTCTACTTGTGTGCACATCAGTTTGTCCCACTGGGTTCAACAGGACTTTTAAAGAGCAGCCTTGTATTGTGAATTTTAGTTTTTAGTCCTCTGACATGGCATGTGGCCCACAGGTCAATCAGAAAGGAAAAGCAGGGCTACAGTGACCTCTAAGTTCTACTGTCCTCTAAGTTCCCCAGTAATGGATCCCCAGGAGCTTTTGGAAAACAGGGAATCAGACCATTAATCAGATTATCCAAACCATTAATCAAGAAACGATGCTGGGTCTGATGAGACTCAGTGTGGCACAGTGATTAAGAACACTGGACTAGGACTCAGAAGATCTCCGCTCTGCTCCCCACTCAGCCATGAATCCCACTGGGCAATTTTGGGTCAGTTATGGACTCTCAGCCTAACCTGCCTCACAAAGTTGTTGTTGTGAGATAAAATGGAGAGGATTATGAATTGCTTTGGATTCCTTGCAAGAGGAAAAAATGTGTTGGTGCTGGTGGTCATGATGATGAAGATGATGGTGGGGGAGGGAAATCTCTAGCGGATCAGAGGAAGATATCAGATCACATCTGAAACTGAAAGAGAGGTTCAGAGAGGATCTTCATGATTCCGTAGTACAGTTGGTGCCTTCAAATGGCAGCTGGCTTCCAACTTGTGACCTGGGTCAAAGGAAACATCCAGTGCAACCATTGTTACACTCGATCTCATTGCTAAGCTGAAAGCACTTCTTGCCAAACAAGTAGTTGGATGTAAATAACAGAAAATCTGTTTTTCAAGAGAAAGAGGGAGGCTCTTTGTTTGCCACTTGACATTTCTGTGTGGCGTTCTTCTTTGCACTTTTGCCCATAAAAGAACATGTTAGCTAAACTTTTTTAAACATCATCAAAGTAGGAAAATATCTGGAAACTTAAGAAATGCTTGCTATTGTGACTGATGCTGATTGCCCTTAATTCAATTTTGTAGAAATTAATCAGGGTGAGATTAATTAATCTGTTTAGTCATGGAATCTAACTATAGTTTTTCCTTCCTAGAAAAAGCATATGGATTGGGGCTTGCCCTTTATCCCTTTGTATTATAGAAAAACAATTAGAAATGCCTGCACGAGTGATAAAACTAATGGAAACTGACATGATCACACAGTGGAAGCCTGTTTCTTTGGAAAATGATAATAATGTTCTGTATGTTCAGTTTTCTCAACTGGGCAATAACTTACTGTGACACAAATGACATTGCCTTGCTTTTCATGATCATAGAATTTAAATATCACTGCTCTCCAAATAAGTTGGTGGTACACTTTTCATTTGTTAAAATTCATTTTGGGTTTTTGGACTTGCTAAAGTGGAAAAAAGGCTTTGTAGCATATGAAAATGGGGAAATATTCTAGTTGGCACAATGCCCTTATGCAAATTTAATCAAACAATTGTTCTCTCATTACATATATTGAGAAAGCAGTTAAGGAAAATTAATAACGTGATTTGTCCTCTGTTGTTTTGTTCTATCAAGTCATCTTCGACCTATGAATGAAAGCCCTTCATGTCCATGGCATCTACATCTTGTTTCATTTTGGGTTATTTCATCATATGGTTTTCATAGATTCATTTATCCTTCATCTATGCTTATATTAATTTTAGTAATTTTCAGTGACAATGTTATGTGATCCAAGATGCCACGTAGGGAATGCGGCAAGATAGGTCAGGGCTGAGCCATGGGAGCTTTCCCTTTGAAGCCAAGACTTATGCCAGGAGTCAGAACCAAGGGGGTTAATCTGAGGAGTCAAGCCAGGAGTCAGAAATGAAAGACTAAACTTGGGATGTCAAACTGGGGAAGAATCCACACAAGGGTAAGAACTAGGAGACAATGCTAAGAATAGAAAAGAGACAGGAAAACCTATTGCTGCCCAGCAAAATCTCAGCTCAAGCAGAATGCCAGAGGCCATCCAGTTCAGGATATCTAATCGCAGATATGGTAGATACTTCAGAACCTGCACATCATTGCATCCCAGGGAAATATTCCAAACTGGAGCTGTGGTGGTCTGGCCAACCAGTGTCACAGGTTTTTGCTTTTCTAATACACGAAAAGCAGCATAGAACTGAAATGACTCTCAATGGAAGTGAAAGAAGAAAAGCAGGACTGTAGCTAAACGTTAAGAAAACAAAAATCGTGACTGCAGAAGAATAGCACATATTTAAGGTCAACAATGAAGAAACTGAAATTGTAGAAGATTCTACATATCTTGGCTCAGTCATCAATTCAAAGTGAGAATAAAGGAAGAAACAGCCTTGAGTCTGCAAGAGCTGAGTAGGGCTGCCAAGGGCAGGATATTTTAGAGGACTTTCATTCATAGGGTTGCCATAAGTTGGAAATGACTTGATAGCCATAACAGCAACAATGTAGAAAGAATGCACTGCATTTCTGGCATACTAAGTTCCTTCCTTATCTGCACTGACAGATTTTTAAAGTATTTTATCATGCCATCAATTCAATTCTTGCTTATTCATGAAACTGAATTTATCTCTTTTTTCTTGCTCTTTTCTGCATAGCATAATACAGCTGGTATAAACTGCGAGAAATGCTTGAAGGGTTACTACCGTCCTTATGGTGTTCCAGTGACAGAGCCACATGGATGCACACGTATGTTTATTTCTTTGTACCTTTAATTTTTTTTCCTCCCTGAAAAAGAAAGCCATAGGAAAAATTGGCCAAAGGAATTTGAATATATTTTAGAATGTGATATCAGCATATCAGCATTGCATTTGAGCAGTGCTGGTTGGAAGTGGCGGGGGTTGCAGTCCAACACATCTGGGGGGTGTGACAAGAAGAAAGGCTGGCATGCGGTGCATTTGGATCTACAGCAGCATAGAAGGCATCTTGCATAATTATATTAGGACTGTAGTGGGAACAGCAGACCTGCGGTTATTTCCCTGTCATATTGATTTGCTTATTTGATTAGATTTGTAGAATGCCTTTCTGCCAGGAAAAGACACTCAAGGACACTTAGGAGCATAATTAAAATGAATTAAAACAATAGAACAACACATTAAAATACAACAAAAATATAATAATCACAGAATAAAAAGAGTTCCCAACCCACAGGCATGCTTGCTAGCCAAAGGCCTTCTTTAATAATGTGGTTTTTGCTTGTTGGCAGAAGGACTGCAGAGAGGGAGCAAACATAGCTTTCTTTGGGGAGGAAGGTGTGGGGGTGGCCACCAAAATGTCTTTCTCTTGAGTCCCCATTGAATGTGCCTCGCATGGTCATGGTCTCAAAAGAAGGGCCTTCCCAGGAGGTCTCAAGAACTGGGCAAGCTTGTATTAAAGAAGGCAGCCTTTCAGGTTCTCTGGTGCCGTGCCATACTAGGCTTCATAAATCACAGCCATTGCTTCGCCCACGTATTGGCAAAGGCAGGGTACCTACTGAAGCAGAATGTTTTACTTTGCTTAATATGCTTAACCATTTTACTAAGCTATCATGAGAGCAGTAATTTTGAAGACAAGTATAAAATCAACTGCATAAGAAAAACTAACCTAAGCTGCTGACTGTAGGAAAGTAGCCTGTTGATGTGAAAATGTACATGCAACACTTTAAATATATTTGGTGATCTTATAATTCTAAATTCATTTATTTGTTTAAAACTTTTTTATACCGTCCCATCATGCCTCATTACAGTGTTATCTGCAGAAGGAAGGAAGCAAGATACAACTGTAATTGTGATGTTTTAGGTTAACTTCCATAAAATAATAAATTCACCCAAAGGAAGTTTTTAGGATGACCTTTTTTTAATGCAGTCTGCAGTTGCAATCCAGAATATTCTAACGGCTGTGAGGATGGATCTGGACGCTGCTATTGTAAACAGAATTATCAAGGTGAGACCTGTGACCAGTGTGTTGATGGACACCACAGTTTCCCCTTCTGTTACCGTAAGTATCAATATATCCCTGCATTTTGTACTCTATTTTATTAAACATATCTCTGTATCCAGTTGTATCAACTACAGTGCACAAATTACCTGTAAATTATCAGTAAATATATATTATACTGCAAATTAGCAGGCATGTAAATATTCTGCTTTTTAAAAAATGGAAGTGGTAGTCATTCCTAAAATCTGAGATAGAGTTGTACAACCAATATCCTTATGATAAGTCATCATGGGTTGGGAGGCAGACATCTGTGAGTTCAAATTTTAAAAATGTTTCTCTCCGAATGAATTTCTTCCCTGCCCCATCCCTTTTAGTTGGTGCTGCTGTTCCAGTATGCTCTTTCAAGTGTGTTTTCAGCATTGTGCCATTATATTGCATACAGACAGAATACAGCCATTAGTCCTTACAGGATAAAGGGGCATTACTTTAGATTCCCCTTTATTTGTTAACTCTGGATGTACAGAAAATCAAGGGCACATTTCAACAGCTACTTGAGTCTTTTCTGTCAGCCCAGCTGTAAGGGAGGAAGCTGAGGAGGAGGGAAAGGGGCAGAAGTGGATTTAGAAGAGGAGAGAGGCAGAGAAGGTGAGCCTGGGGCAAGAGAAGGGGTGTGGGTGCCAAGGACAGAATTGGGCAAACAGGTGTGTGTCAGGAAGGAAATGACTTGAAGGATGGTTTGAGGGATGAGAGAAAGCAAACTGGGAAGAATTATTTAGGTGAGAGAAAGAGCAAAAGATGAATGGAGTGGGATAGGAGTTTCAGAGCAGAACCTATGAGCCTAGTGGGGAGGGATTTGAACTGGGCTGTGCAGATTTGGGAGGATGATGGTGGTGGAGGAAGGTGGAAGAAAGGGGTGGATAGTGACAAGTGAAGCAGCAAGATGCAGTAAAGGGATAAAAGGAAGATAAGAAACCAAAGAAAAAATCCTCCTTTCACTGCCATCTCATTCCCCCAGCAATTCCATGTGTATGTTTATGTATAATAAATTTATTCCACCTAACCTCATCAGAGATGAGACACAGCGAGGCCTCCATCACTCCTGATGCCCCAGATGCTGTTTGTCTCCCAGAACTGTCTCAGGCAGTGCTCATGACTCAAGATACCTGAATGTGAATACTTGCTCTTTGCTCCCAGCCCTTTCCCTCTTGCCTATCATGTCTGTTTAATCATAGGCTATCATTTCAAACTGTGAACCACCTTGGATGCTTTGGAAGAAAAGCAGTATAGAAGTGCAATGAACAATCAATACTGTCTCTAGCTATTTTCCTAACAGCCACTTCTTCTTTTCTCCACCTTTCCATATTAAAGCAATCCCTGTATATCCTGTTGCTACTCCAAGCCCAGAAGATCTTTCACTTGGTCATATCATGGGCAAGTTTTTTTTCTTTTGTTGTCTTCATAGTTTATTATTTAATGGTATGGTTTCAATCACAGAAAGAATCATGAGATATTTAGGTACTGTGTGGATGAATTTACACAAGTAGCATAGGAAATATATTTTCTGTGTGTAAGTATATTTGTATGCAGATGTTTGAAGACTGCTGGCATTTATATGCATCTTCTTGGACTGGAAGATATGTCAGCTTGCTATGTTTTAATGCTTTCATTCTGTCTATGGCTGCTTCCAGATGGACTCCTAGCATTACCATTTCTTGCTCTTCTTCTGTCAGCTATAAGCAGAACTGCTATTCACCATACATGCTATATAGAATTAGTGCTTTTGGGGTGTTTTTATCTTGCTGTGTTCTGTCCATATGGTGGGCAAGACAGAGTCGTGTGGACAGCATTGGCAGAGTTTTTGACCTGAGTGCTTCTCATTGCCATGTTAGCATCCTTCCTCCCTCCCCCTCCCCCCTTCCCACCCACCCCCTCTGTGTGTGTGTGTGTGTGTGTGTGTGTGTGTAAAAGAGGGTCTATTGCTCAAGACAAGAATATTGCAGCTAAGCTAACTTCTGTATAAACATGGCTACAAAACAGGTGGTGAGTCCCATAAATTTCACTCCAGAATGCTCTAGTTTAGTGAATTTCTCAGCTAGATCTAATCAGACAACTAAACTAATGTGAATTATGTTGCACTAGTGTAAGTGAGCTCTAGTGCAGCACCAATCACATGTGCAGCCATGCCAAATTTTCTGGGGAACTCTGCCATGCCAACAATGAGTTGTGATAGAGGGCACTTATGCTAACACAATGTGATTTATGTTAGCCATTTTGTCACATTGGATACTGCCATATTGTACCAGATTCTATGGATACTGTCTGTCTAATGTGCTATAGATTCATAAGTAGGAATTAGGTTTCTTTGCTTGTGATGCATTGGCACTGTCCTATTTCTGTGGTTTTTCAAGACTCATGGGGAAGCTGTTTGTATAATAGCAGTATGATCCAGGCCAGAAGAAAATAGGACCATGGGTCCTGCTAGCTGGAACTTTCTTCTACTACCATACTTCTACTAATCTACGGATGCTTCTCTAGGTTGACAAGAATTGTAGCTGTCCATTCTAGAGGAACTGACTGGGCTGTTAAAGGGTGCTCACTTGATTTTGTAGCCTTAGGTCTCCTGTGAGGTTTTGGAGTTGGACTTTCTTCCAGGCACTTGTCTTCTGAGCTTAGAATGATTACCATGTCTTCTGACTGGCAGAGCCCAAAATCAGGCTCTGACTTTCCTACTGCTAAGGAGTCTCATCTTCATCAGAATTCTCTACTGCACATGTACAATCCAAAGGGTGGGGAGCGTGAAAAGTGCACACTTTACATGGCTAGAAAACAGTTGCATTGTTACATAACATTTTTTCCTTTCTTCCTTCTTTCCTGAGAAATTTTCAGTGATGTTGAGCCCCACAGGCCTCACTGATTATTAGAATTTTGCCTGACTTGTTTAAGATTTACTCTGGGAAGCAAAAATGTAAAGAAAATTATGCTCCAAAGAGAACTGGCTAACAATAGCTTAACCATTTCTTATTTTTCCCATACAAGAATGCAGCTGTGATGCAGTTGGATCTGTGGCCAATACATGTGGCCCTCAGGGACACTGTCTCTGCCATAGAAACTATGCTGGGCCAAAATGCAGCCAGTGCGCTCCTGGTTATCACCACTATCCCAATTGTTTGTGTAAGTAACTAATGAAGTCTTTCATTCATTTCTGAGATTCACACTGTAATCTATAATACATTACATGGAAATAAAACTGCTTAACATAGATGTGACTTTTTAAGAAACCATACTTAAGTGGCTCCCACAACACCAGAGGCAAATTCAGACCCATTCATTGCTAAAATACTACAGGGAAGCCCTTGTAATTATGCACAATAGTAAGCTGTCATTGGTATTGTGCAATATCCTGATTTATGGCTCCTAGCAGTAAAATCCATTAACAGAGTTATAGCCTTTAAGAGCAGTGGAGCATATACCTTGTGTGCAGAAGGTTCCAACCAAAAATGTTTCAGACAGCAAGGCTGGGAAATGCTGCTTGAGGCTCTGGAGAAAAGCTGCCACTCAGGATCCCTAGCAGGATTAGGGCTGGTCCAAGTTTGCTGCCTGAGACAAAGACTAAAACGGCAGTTGCATTCCACAAGCAGAAGTCAAGCACAGTGATTGTGACTCGTACTTCAGCTGTGGCTATGGGTTGGCATCCTCCCCCTCCACCACACCCGAGGACAGCTAATAGCTGTGCCGCTTTCATAGCTCTGTTCTCAACACCCCATTGCTGCCCCCAAGTATTTGTTGCCTGGAGTGCTCACCTGGACAGAGAGGGCCCTGGGTAGGATGGACTAGTGGCCTAGATCAATTCATTCCCTATCTTCAAAATATTTTGTTTATGTGTCCACAGGTGGTGCCACATCTTTCTGGCTCTCTGCAGGTAGAGCTCCATTTGTGGCAGCTTCAGAGCCACCACAGCTGAGTTGGCTCAGTGGGGATAGGAGGTTTAAACTCAGAGCACTGACTGTAGTAGCTGTGCAGCTGAGAGCACTCCCAGCAACCCAAGCAGAAAATAGATTTGGGGGATGCTAGGAGCTGTAGTCTAGCATATCTGAAGGAGAGCAAGTTAAGGATGATTGCTCTGTAGAATCATGCAGTGTGTAAGGTCCAGGATGTGGGCAACAGGTGGCTGCAGTCAGGATGCTGAGCCCAGGGTGCCAATGCAAGGCAGAGACTTGCACCAAGCTTAGAGGACCAGAGGCGAAAGGCACATCTTTGAACAGTCCAGGGTCAAGAGCCAGTGAGACCATAAGGTCCACACAAACACCCAGTCCCGGAGCACAGTCCCAAGGTCAAGCGCCAGAAAGAGAGTCACATTCTGGAGCAAGGTAAGGTCAGGGAGGATGGATGCTGGTATCTGGTAAGGCAGGGTCAGGCTGCAGAGAAGGATGGAAGCAGGAAGAGACTGAGGGACAGGCAGGTTGAGACAATGTTGGAGCATGAGGTAGCCACCAGGACAGCTTGTGTTGGGGTGGCAAGGAGAAGCAGTTCAGTGAAGCCCTTTCTGCAGCTCTCCAGGGCTTCCAGCTGTCCCACACAATTACCCCACAGCTGTTCTTTCCAAGCACCCACCCAAGTGTTCCTAGTAAGCATGGCCAGTAGTCTGAGTGTGATGAGAGCTGTAGTCCAGCAATATGTGGGGAGTCAAGTAGGTAGCAAAGTCTGTATGGTAAAGCAGGGATGAACAAGTCTGGGAGCTCTCTCTGGAGGTCATTTCCCCCCTGTCCTCTAGGCTACAGTCTGACAGGACTGAAAATGAATTTTTGAAGAACCAAGGCGAGAAATGGTATCCATCACACTATGGAGCACTGAAAGTCAGCTTCAGATTGCTTGCAGTTTTTGTCAGTTTTAGGGCTTCATAGCTATATAGCAGTTTAGTGCTATGGACACCATTTCTCCCCTGCATGTTCAGGCTATTTTTTCCGGTGTATGGAGGACCCCACTAAGGAACACATATTGCTCAGCTCTCCTCTAAATCCTGCTGTCTAACCTCTTTGTTCAGCTTGTCAGTGTTCAGTGTATGGCTCCTACCACAACTCATGTGACCCAGCCACCGGGCAGTGTGATTGTCGGCCTGGCATCACAGGTTGGCACTGTGACCAATGTCTCTCAGAGGCCAAGAGCTTTCCTCATTGCCAAGGTAATACTTACAAGGACATTTCTGTTTCTGACAAAATTGCAGGAACAGTCAGTCAATTGCTTTTACAAGTGTAAGATTAGAGGGTTTTGCCAAGTTCCATTTTCTCCATAAATCTGAGTGAAAATAATCGCTAGTGGGGGGGCCACATACCAGTGCTGCATGAAAGAGGTGGGGCCCAAAATCCAAAAAAATGCCAGCATATTTATCTGAAACCTCTTGCTTAGGAAATGTTTTAGAACATGGAGAAAATGGCACAAAAGTCAGGAAGGCACCAGACAACTGCTGGCTGGAGAGACAGGAGGGGGCGTGGCAATCTTGGAACCCCATAGGCTTGGGGACCCTGGAGCTCCAGGAGGGCCAAATCTGGAATATTTAGGCAAACATTTATGGATGTTGCTAATGGGTGGAAGGATGAGTCTTTATCAGTGGTGATGCTATTGTTATTGATACATTCGTGAGGGCTGTAGTCCAACCCAACTAGATGACACCAGAATGGGGGAGCCAGACATCTGAGCTACTGGATGCTTCAGGAAAGCATAATAGAACAGCTCTTCCCATAGCTGTGTTTCAGCAGATTAATCTGAAGTTTCTAGCTGTCAGTTGATCTGTCTTCCAAAGATGGAATTGATGACTGTTTGGGATACATATCTCATTCTGTTTGCTTCCCATAAAGGACACACACAGGTCAGTGTGTCCCAGAGTCGTCCATGTGTGTGTGTGTGGTGGTGGCTCACTGTGAGCAAATCAGTTTTCTACCTGCAAAATAGAAATAACCATGACCACATGGATAGTGTGAGGTCAACCATTCCGAGTGCTTTCAGGAATGGCTTTTAAGGCACCATCATAACCTGCATCATTCACAAAATTTCACATCATGGTCAAAGTGGAATATAGGCCTTCCCAGGTTTTCCAACTGCTTTTTCTATCTTGTATTTAAGGGCTTGATTCTATGCATGTTTAGACAGGGAAAAAGTTTACCTATGCTGACTAGTATATGCCAGGAGTTGCAGCCTTCTTTGTTGTTTGTTTAAGCATGCATAAGGTTGTACCTTAAGAAAATGAAGTTGGAACAGCTGCACAATGCACTAAGAACACGCTGCCTAGCTCCCTCCATGTACTAAGTACTCTGAAAATGCTGTTTCAGTAATAATAATCTGTTAAGGAAAATGAACTCTACAGGTTTGTTGTAAATAAGTATACAGTGAATTAACTGTGAAACATTGTGTTCATTTAAAAGTGAGATAGAAATGGTTGAAAATAAATATTTGAGAATAAAATTATGTTGTGTTTTCATTGTGAAAAGGATCCAGCAATGAATGTGACCCAGCTGGAGCTGCAGATTCTTACTCTGTAGGTATTGCATCCCAGATTTATGGCATGTATTGACTATAACATGTGAATTCATTGGCCCAAATGTGTTAAACCTGGGGTGGGCACAGTAATTTCTACTATAGTCAGGCTTAATATACTTAGAGCAGTGATGGCATGTTAGCATTTCCTGATGGCTAATTCCAGAGCCTGGAGAAGAGAAGATGCAAACATGACAGCTTTCTTCAAAGATCTGCAGGGCTGTCATGAGGACCATGGAGCAGGCTGGTTCTCTTGGTCCAGAAGGTACAGCTAGAACCAATGAGAAGTAGATTTCATTTAAATATTGGGAGAAATTTCCTAATGGCAATTGCTACTTGAGAATGGCACAGTCTGCCTCAGCTAGTTGAGATACTCTTTCACCATTTAAGCACTTCTCAGGGATTTTGTAGCAATTGACTTCAGCAGCTTGCAAACCCCCTTAGCTAGGGTGTCAGAAACCTCTGCAACAGATTCAGATGGGCTTAGATTTCTATGACTTTAACTTGGGGATTCTGCAGCAGACTGGCTTTATCTATGTCATGGGGATTCTGGAAATTTATGGACCAGATTTGTATGTTTTGGTGGGATTTGTGCCCTAAGGTTCACTTGTGATAATGTGAATTAGCACATGCAGAATGAAATTCTTGTGATTCTAGTCCAGTTCCAATAATGAGCAGATGACAGAGTGAAAGATGCCTTCTTTTTGTCTATTAGGGGTCTTGCCAATGTCTGCAAAATGTAGAAGGCCCAACTTGTAGCACCTGCAAACCTCTGTACTGGAATCTGGCCAAAGAAAACCCTGATGGATGTATAGGTAAGGCTACACTGATAGACTTCATGTCTTGAAAGTTGAGCCTGTGCTGTTTTCAGCTGTCTTCAGTTCAGTCCAAGCCCTCCAAACCAGCCATTGTTTTTTATTCAGAAGCCTTGAGCAAAGTAGGTAGATTTGAGCTTCCAAGGGGCTTCGCTGACAGCTGAGGACCGTTGTGCCACCCCAATGTGCAGTTTTAGACCTTTATTTAGGAGTCATCTATATATATTTCAAAATATAGATAGATAGATAGATAGATAGATAGATAGATAGATATTTTGTTTATTTATTTGAAAGTTTATTTCATGCAGGGTTGGAAGATAACATCAAATAATCTTTAAGACACATTCCTGCTGCCTTGATGCCTGGACAATCTTGCATTGTGCTCGTCTGTTGCCCGAAGCGAATTTCACCTCTCCACTCTCTGCAAAGCTTTTCCTTGTTAGGTGGGTCTCAGAGCCCATCCAGTTGGGTTGTGCTGGCAGGGCCAGCAGGGTCTTTGGCGTATGGATCCAGCAGATCCTCAGCCTCTATTCACCCCTCCCTAACCTGGACACTAGCGTGGCCCCTCCCTGCAGCCCAGAGGGAAGGGAATCACAGCATTATAGGGTGCTCAGAAGCTGTCTGATTGCCCTGTTATTCAAGACTGTGGTTCCCACTGAAACATCAGATGCTTAATGATGCTTAAGCAAATTCTGCCCTCTACTGTAACTCAGTGAAAAATTAGTGTAGCTACACAACGTTTATATTCACTTGAAGAGCCAGCAACAACATAGCAGGAGGGGAAGACTGGAAGAAAATGTTCCAAAAGGTTCAACCTCCCTCCCGCTGCATCACATTGGAGGAGATGCAGGAGATGCAGATCAGATTCCTCCAGATATGCCACAGAATATAAATGTGAATAACATTCCAAACAATCACATGTGCAGCCTGGTCTGGTTCAGAGTGAGGCATTTTGCTTGGCTAGCTATGTGCCATCTCTGTTCTCAGAAGCAGTATTCCTGTGTGCACCAGTCGCTCAGGAGCTTGGGCAGGCAGAAATCTTACAGCCTTCTTTCTCGAAGGATCCTGTGAGCAGCTGGCTTGCCACCATGCGAACAGAGTGCCGGCCTGGATGGATTATTGGACTGATCAGCATGACTTTTCTTATATTCCTAATGTTCCAACAAAAAGGGGTTGGGAAGATGGGTTTCAGATGGTTTTTTTACCTTTGCAGAATGCCAGTGCAATGAAGTTGGGACGTTGAGCGGAGTCAGAGAGTGTCAGCAGGTAAAGACATGTAGTTTACAGATATGTTGCTTGCATAATAGCTACATTTCCGAAAGAAAGTGTCCATCCGCAGCCAGCTAATTCCTCATAGAACAGAGCCAGATGTGTTGACTGCAACTGTTCTAATTCCTGCTACCCTGGCATTGGAGAGCACTGGGCTAATGCACTGCAGAGTCTCTGTTTCACAGATTCGTAGTGCCAAATACCTTCTGATTTCTCCTACAAAAAAGCCTTGGCATCCCAATTTTACCCTTTTTTCTTCTGTGCTCTAATTTCTGGGCAGAATTTTAATGGCTGATTTTATCCTTTAAATTCTTTGTAGCTTGGGGTTGCAGTTCCTGAAGGATAACCTCTTGCCACATGTTTCTGGTAGACTGACTAGGTGTCCTATTTTACAGATGGTAGTCCTATTTTGGAGCAGTAGTAGTGGACAGTCCTCTCTTTGAAGGAGCTTTCTGTTTGAAGACCTCTTTGGCAAGGTCTGACTAAACTATAAAAAAGGAAGCATAGGGGCTTTGAAGTACAGCATCAATAGTTAGCAGCTGGACAGAAGGCTGAGCTTGTGTTCAAGTTGCCTAATTCATTTTTTTCCCACTACGGTCAGATGTCTTTGAAAAGTATCTTTTCCCAAATGTATACCTATATATAAATATTTGCCTATGTAAATTATATCTTTTTTGGTGATGCATAAATAGCTAGCCTACCTGCTGATCCCTGAGGGCATCACTTGAGGTCCTTCTTCAAGTCTTTGGTTGTGGAATGCTCTTTTCAGAGATCTATCTATATTCTCATACCAGCCAAAGGCTCTTTTATTTTACTGGGCCTTTTTGAAAATACGGTTCTGACATGGTTTGACATTGGTAGATTTTACTTCAATGCATTTCCTTTTTTAATTTGGTTTAGTGCTATGTATATTTATTCTCTGTTTAAGTTAGGTATTTTGATTTCTTGTTCATTATTCAGTCTCTTTTATTGTAATGGTAGTTTTTCAGTTTTGCTCAACATAAAAGATCGTAGAATCATTGTGTTCATTAGATAGCCTAAAACCAACCTTAGTAAACCAGTACTGAGCTCAGTAGGGTTTAGAGCATCCAGCCCTCTACAAATTATTATTATTATTATTATTATTATTATTATTATTATTATTATTATTAACATTTCTATGCCGCCCCTTGCCGAAACCTCGGGGCGGCTTACAACATGATAAAATACATTGAAATACAATAGTACAAAAAATACATTGATTTACAAATATAAAATTAAAATTATCAGTATAAAATAAAAATATAGGAGGAGAAAGAGAAGGAAGAAGAAGTTGCCCTGGCCAGATCATATGTTTTAACAATTGAAATGATGTTTAAATAAAAAGGTCTTTACCTGGCGCCGAAAAACCAGTAACGACGGTGCCAGGCGGACCTCTTTGGGGAGTGAATTCCATAGGTTGGGCGCCACCGCAGAGAAAGCCCTCCTCCGGGTACTTACTCTCCTAATTTCTTTCATGGAGGGTTCCCGGAGAAGGGACTCTCCCGCAGATCTCAAAGGGCGGTCGGGCATATACGGACGTAAGTGCTCGTTCAGGTAGCCAGGACCGAAGCCGTTTAGGGCTTTGTAGGTCATAATCAATACCTTGAATTGGGCCCGGGCTTCAATGGGAAGCCAGTGAAGCTGACGGAGGACTGGAGTCATGTGAGCATAATGCCCCGTCCCCGTCAGCAACCTGGCAGCTCTATTTTGCACCAATTGAAGTGTTCGGACTGTCTTCAGGGGAAGCCCCACGTAAAGCGCGTTACAGAAGTCAAGGCGGGAAGTCACCAGCGCGTGTGTCACCATCGCCAGGCAGTCGTACTCCAGGTAGGGGCGCAGCTGATTAATCAGCAGAAGCTGAAGGAAGGCGTTCCTCGCTACCGCTGTCACCTGAGCTTCCAAAGAAAGCTCAACCTTTCATTTGTTGGCACATGCCATGCCTAACTGGAAGGGACACGTGTGCCAGTGTTAGGGCAGCAGGAAACCAGGCAGATGCGCCAAGACCCAAGCAGCAAGAATGAAGCAGATGCGCCAGGACCCAGGCAGCAAGAATGAAGGCAACACAAAAGTGCAGAGTCTAACAGCAATCCAATAATAAGCCCAAGTTGTAGTCACAGTGCAGCCAAGGCCAGGAACTGGGACTCTGCTGTGGAGCAAGACAAGGTGCAGTCACAATAGGCAAGAGATCAGGCACTAGAAGACATTAGAACAAGGAACAGGTACATTGGGACAGGATTACAAGGCAGTGTTCAGGAACAAGAGGTCATAGCAGCCAAGGCAAGGAAGAAAGACAGAACAAGATGAGGTGAGGCAGGGCAGGAACAGGAACAGGATCAGGATCAGGATCAGACAAATGTCCTACAACTAATCCTGCAGCTACTAGGGTTGTTATTCTGGTGCTAGGCCAGAGCATGGAGCCCTGGAGCAGCCCAGATCCTGAGAGCAAGTAATTGATGTACCTACCTGATCCCTGAAGTAATGGGGGAAGAGGCGAGTTCAATAAAAGTGCACATAGGACTGTAGCCTTAGCAGCTTGTTAGCAGGTCCTCCTGCTTTGCAAAATACTGCCAGATATAGCTTATTTTAGAAATGGTGCCTCACAGCAAGGGTTCCCATGAACCCGTGTCTGGCTTAAAGTATGCCACGCGGGAACATTCTTGGTCTGGTCTGCTGCCTAGAACCTCCTTTCTTTGGGCCACTGAGAGAGGGTCTCACACGTGTTCATCCCTATGTAGTGGGTACAACTGGCCTTCTCACCAAGCCACATGATCATTCAAGCATGTGTTCTTTCTGTGGCTACAAACCACCCCTAGATAATTTTGAAAACCTTCTTTCATGCACGTTTAAAAACAAATTATATAGATGATTGTTTTGGACATTGTTTTGAAATTTAAAAAAGAAGGAAGCTGAAAAATTTCTCTCTACTTACAGGTAGATGGTGAATGTTACTGCAAACCTAATGTTTGTGGAGGTTCCTGTGATACTTGTGAAGATGGTTATTATGGTCTGGCAGTCAATAATTATTTTGGATGCCAAGGTAATTTATAGTGTGCTCATAAAAAATTTCCAATGAGCTCATTTTCAGAACACTGCTACATAACACATCAGTACACGAACATCCCTGCATATTTCTTACAGTTGTATAAATCTGAGCCTTTCGTTCAGAACCTTGTAGTTTATAGTGGGTAGTACTCAAGATTAAAGTGCCTGCTTGTTTTTTTTGCAACATAAGCTTCAGAAGCCTGTGGTAATGATGGCATTAGCTCACAATGATGTGAGCTGCTAGTTTAGTACACATAGAATTCTGGTCTTTTAGAAGCATTTTGCTTAAATCAGAAAATACAGAAAAATAGTTTTGATCCTCCTATATAATAAACAGTTCCCATTTGTGGAAATGTGGTATTCTCTGTCATCTCACAGAAATTAATATTAATAATACAGTCTTTCCAAATAGTGCCCTCCTGTATGCAGGCAATAAAAAGCAGCCCATCCCGCACTCTGAAGAGAACAAAGACATGTTCCCTGCTGTCCCAGAGGGCCAGACTTGAGCTAGAGGGTAAGATTTTGGTGGAACAATCAGGGGAAGTCTGGATAATAACTGCAGTTTTGCAGTGGAAGTGATTGCCTAGAGGTGTAATGAGCTTTCCCCCACTGGCAGAAGCTGGACAGCCCTCTACTGAGGGTGCTTAAGCTTTGGCTTTTGTGCATTAAGCAGGGAGCTGGAATGGATGGCCTCTAAAGACCCCTTCAACTCCAGGATTTTAGGGAGAACCCCCCCCCCACCCACACTTTTCTTTCTTTCTTTCTTTCTTTCTTTCTTTCTTTCTTTCTTTCTTTCTTCCAGAATCTACAGATCTAATATTAAAACTCTGATTCTGTTCTTAAACTGCAGGATGCAAATGTGATGTTGGAGGGTCTGTTAGTCATGTATGCAATGATCTATCAGGTGACTGCCAGTGCAGAAAGCACGTAGTTGGAAAAACCTGCACCGAGTAAGTGAGTTGGGAAAGTGAGGCATATGTACCAGAACAGTTAACTTGGAAACCTCCTTAAGATTTCAGGAATGGTTTGCTGCTAGCTGCATAACAAATTGCTTTTGTCATAGTGAGTGCCAGATTTTAAAGAGGGTTTCCTGTGTGGCTGCATCCCAACTGTGGAATTTGGTAGCACAGGAGCCTAATTTCCTTTTCTGCCTTAGCTTCTGCTGCCTAGGGAAGGAAAGGGATGTTTAAGCCTGGCTTTTTATTAGTCTTGGTTTAATGCTAATTCCTATCATTTTAATTTTACTGCCAACTTTTTCCTGTTTTTCTTTTAATAATTTTAATTGTTTTGTTTGGGGTATTCTGTTCTTTTAATGTTGCTAGCTGACATAAAGTATTTTACAGTGGAAGGGGAACTTTATTATATATGTTATTCTAATGCATTCAAAGATGATAATGAATTGGAACCTCTAAATACAGGAGCAGTATACCTGTCTAAAGATAAAGTGCTGGACATGGACAAAAGGGATGGACAACATGAAGGGACAATTACCTTCATGTTTTTGCTGTTTGATTTTGGAAGTTATGTGGCCACTGTGGGGAATGGAATGCTGGACTAGATTAAAGGAGCAAGGGAGTAATATATCAGTTAGGAGAGATGCAGTATTTATTTATTCCCATTATAAGGCTCAAAACTCTATTGCTTGGGGCAATACAGGGTCAGGACAATGTGGAGCACCTTTGGTAACAAAGGAAAAGTGTGGGCACATGGGAGGTAAATTGCAGGCAAGCACAATTTGTGGCATTCCACAACAGCATTAATGAACATGGGGCATGCCATTAAGGCATCGGCTTCCTGGCTATGTGGCACTTGAACCAACATGAGAGAGCCTTATTTTGGCCTTCCAATGACAGGGTTTCTTCCCTCATTGGAAAGATTTAGCTGGGCAATTTTTATGGTTTCCTCTTTCTCTTAATATGTACTAAATGCAATGTGATGATAATAATAAATGAAATAATTTTAGAAAGCCAAACACTGATTTTTGTGTCTTTTGGTTCTCACAAAAGACCTAGAAAAAACTACTATTTCTCTGATTTGCATCACATGAAGTTTGAAATTGAAGATGGTACATCACCTAATGGAAGAGGAATCCGGTTTAGTTATGATCCTCAAGAATGGCCAGGCTTCAGTTGGAGAGGTTATGCGCAGATGTCCTCAATACAGGTACGTATTTAAGACCTACTTAGATGGCTTGAGCTCACACCCTTAGTCCTACTGCATTCATTTTAACTACACTTGCACATTTTCTTTGGATGATGATGGGTGAGATGCATTCTTCAGTGAAGTCTGATCTGCTCATTACCCTGTCTTGCTGGAAAGACCTTTCTACTGGTGACTCTCCATGCACTGGCTGCAGTGCATGCAGGAGTTGCCACGTGAACCCTTCCAGCCACAAAAGAGGAAATGCATTATGGGAAAGAGGCTCTCTGTATGGTTAACATGAGCCACAGGGCAAACAGCCTTAGGTGTAATAATTGAAGCTGTAAGGCCTCACACATGTAGACTGGCCCTAATTTGGTATAGTTGCATGCTACCACTTAAATCTCCAGAATGCACATGAGTAAATACTATGCAAAGAAGTGTGAATATACATATGCACTAGTTCTAATCAGGTCTAATTTAAAGTTATGGATTAGCATGGTGTTTCCTAAGGTGGTGCTCTCCAGATGTCATGGACAGCAACTTCTGTCTTGACTCGGAAAGATGGGAGTTGTAACATGTAGCCCAGACTGGATTAGGAGGCACTAGGGACTAGCCATGTTTCAGTGGTGTCCCACAGTCACAGTCAGATAAATTTTGCTGTATAGTTGGAGGTGGTATTTAGTCTTTCAGATAGAGACTGACAGCACTTGGGAGAAGACTGGCAATATCTTCCCTGTGTCAACTACAAGCTGGGTGGCTTTACATAAACTTGTCAATTATGGCCAAGTGAAAAACATCTCATGTCATACTCTGAGAAGAAGTATCAGAAAAGTGGTAGAAATGCAGTAGCTTTCAACAGAGAGAGACCATGTGTTATAAAATCTGAATTTTTACATTTAAAATTTCCTTGTACACAGGCCTAAAATTTCTGTGTACACAGAGGAAGGGACAGGGTAATTTTGACAAGTAAATCTTAGTTGTTTCAGGCACTAAATAAAATGACATGTAGCACTCTGATTAGTGTGATCTTTTGCTTTCTTGGGGACTGTATTTAGTTTCAGATGGATCAATACTGCCCCAACAACTTTTTGCTCATGGTGGCTTATGTTAAACCACCACAGAGCTGCCAGCAGTGCTGTTCCAGATGCATACATCTTGGATGGTAGTTTGATGTACATTACAAGCCTTACCCGGAGGTGGGGGGGGATAGGGAAGAAATATGCTCTGTAATCACCACCTGGGCATCTCTTTGGGCACCTTGTTTATTTTTATAAGCTGCATTAGGGAAAGTCCATGTTTATTTTTTGTAACTTCTGAGCATGTCAACATGCTTATTATCAGAGTATCATATAAATTCCTTCTGATTAATATCATTCACTATGTCTATCTTACTTTCCCACTCTTTATCCCTTGGGGCCCTTCTCTTTCAATTTTGGTAACCACATAGAAAATTCATAATGGCAAATATGAAATTATGAACTACAATGCTGTTTTTCTTACTGTCTTTTATAATCTTTATGAACATATTTTGTGCTTAGGAAGCTCAAATTTACCCCAACATACAGGCAATTAAAGTGAATTCCAGTTTTTCCCAAACTGGCATTCTTCAAATGTGTTGGACAAGAACACACACAATCCCCAATTAGAGCAGGCTGATCCATACATGGAATTAGGGTGGAGGGATAGTCATCTTCATATGGATCATCTCTTCTTCTTGGAGAATTTGATTTTTAGATTTTAGAGTTCCTAGTGTACCGGTTGTGTTCGCTTTAAGCTTATTTTTGAAGTCTAAAATTGTGGGATAGCATAGCAGTTGAGAAGGGCCCTAGCAGAGGAAAGAAAGTAATACTCCCATTCTCACCTTGAATATCCATTTCCCCCACTGAGTGATTCTGAATGGTTGGGTTCTGACAATACTTTAGGCCCAACCTGGATTAACATTGTCTGGGCACCCCAGATGTGCCTGGCTTATGATTGGGCACAGCCAGGATCCTGGGTGTGGACTTCCTCCCCATCTTTTCCCCATATGTATTTGTTAAGGGAAAAAGGCATTTTTATTGTATCCTAGCCTAGCCTGCAGTTGGCTGGTAATGAATGAAATAAAGTAGGGGGAGATGCTTGGAGGTGGAGGAAAAGAGAGTTGGAGATGTGTAGGCGAAGGATGAGTAAATTTCCTGACTAAATCAAGTGAAATTGGAATCTAGGCCTATGTCAAATTGGTTGCAATAAGTTGGCTGCAAATTCTCCTGCTACATTCTTAGTACTCAATCGCTCGGTCAGCCTCCTTCAATTGGGTGCTCTCCTAATGCATTTGACTGCAACTCCCTTAATTCCTAGACAGAATTCAAACAGAGAAAATATCAGGTTGGGCAATGGTGCCCTGGGTCATCAACTTGACAGCTCCTGCTATGGCCATGAGGCAGAGCAAGCCACGTGTGTGACTGATCAGAGAACTCTAAAGTGCAGCGTCATTAACACTGACACATGCCTCCTCCATCACTAACCCTAACCTTGGTCGTGCCATGTGGCATGAGGCCCGGGCCCTGACCAAACTCACAGTGCAGCACTGCAGGTGTGCCGCCTTAAAAATGAGCACCGTACTCCTGTCAAAACAAGGCTTTCCTCCAGATCCGTGTTCCTTTGGCAGCGGTATCATACGCTGTGAGGAGGTGTGAAGTGTGGTTGGTCTGTCTTGCTTTGGAACCTGCCATTATTCTTGTTTTGGTCTAATGTATACATTTGCTAAAAGTTTCTAGACATTGTTTCTGTCTTTGGGTGGTAGTATTAAACAATATGCTTTGCTGTCCTCTCCTTTGCTTCTTTTTTCCCAGCCAGAGGTGGTAGTGCCTGTCCCTGTGGCTTCTCCTAAGCTCCTTCACCTAGTACTGCACTATGTCAGCTTGGTTTCAAAAAGCTCTAGAGGGAGGATCTCAATTGCTGAGGGAAAACATTTTGACCCTAATAACACTTGTAAGTGAACTACATTTCTTGCTAGGTTTACCTGTCATTCTCTTTCTTACCCCAGAAAAAGCTTTCCCCACCCCTCTGCATATTTGTCTGCATTTGTGTGGTGTGTGTACATATCAGTTTGGCTTTTTTTTCCCTATAGGAATTAAGTATTTTGTTTGCACGGCTTCTCATGGTTTTGGCACTTTATGGCTATTTCTTCTTGTTTATTAACTTCTATTTTACAGAATGAAGTGAGGATAACTTTGAATGTGGAGAAACCAAACCTCTCTTTATTTCAAGTTATCTTGAGGTATATTAATCCTGGAATGGCAGTAGCATTTGGTCATATAATCGCTTATGAATCTCGCACTCAAAAAGGTAAGTAAAACATGGCAGCACTCAATGGATGGCTGACAAGTGCTGAAACTCAGTTCAGCTAACTTGTCATTCAGTGAGATTTGTTTACATGATCTGATAGTTTGATCTCTTATGCAGCTTGCAGCTTTTTGCTAAAATCCCAACATCAAAGTGCTAGCTTCAAATTTTGGAGGGCCCATGGCCCGCCTTCTTCAGTGTGATCACCTTCTGTCTGCTAATGTCACCAGCTGCTCTTGCTTCTCATCTTCTTTCTTATCTTCTACTCCTTGGCTGCTTGGCAGGCAGAGAGCCAGTAAGCATGGAGGCAGTGACATCTGTATTTAGCCATGCAAATGAGAAAGCAGGTTGGAATAGTGAAGAGGTGGAACAACTCCGTGGGTTCCTGTCACTGGGCCCCTGCTGGACTTGGACTGCAACCCTGCCTGACACTCTCAGCTTTTATTTTTGGTAGTTCTTTGGTGTGAGGAGAAGATGGCAAAGCGTGCGCGCTCACACACAAATAAAACTTCAATGCTACATTTCTTTATTTGATTAAGATTTCTGAGAGTTCAGATAAGTAAGCGTGTAACAAGGCACATGAACTTGGTAAGCTTGATTGCCCCCCTGACCCAACTGGTCAAAAATTCTATCTCTGCCTCTCCACTATACCTTGTAGGCTGTAGGACTCTTTTTGAGTAACCAAACATTTAGACAGTATGATTATGGAGGTGACTTACAAAGGCGTGATGGCAGAAATACCTAATCTGAACAAATTGCTCATCTTGAACAGCCTGGAAGGATACAAAGAGCCCCTGAGAACTTGGGGGTATGTTTTTTCATATTTTTAATTTGCTTCAAGAACTTTATTGGATTAAAAAAAATCTAGGGCTGAGTATTGCAGAGCAAGTATTATGAAGACTAGTCCTAACTCTGCTAGTCAAACAATTTTAGTTGCTATGGTTTTCTAGTTATGACACGTATGCTGTTGTTTTCAGTAAGTTACGCTCTTCTGATGAAGGCCATGCCTTATTTCTCTCTGCTTGCTGCTCTTAAATCTTCTGTGTGGACAGATGTTTCCTGAGGCACTTTCCAAGAGGGTGGTTTTGGCATAGATGCTTTTTGTCTCAGTAAAGTTTATTTAAAAGCTACATCTTCCAGATTCAAATGTAGGGAATTGTAATAATTGACAATGAGACTGAAATATGAAATCTGGATCCATTGCCTATAGCTTATATTTTGATATTTGTGGAATGAGCTCCCCAAAGAAGTGTACCTAGCACCAGGTGAAGTCCTTTTTGTTCTCCCAGCATTTTAACAGTTTAACTTCATTTTAATATTGCATTTTATTCTATACTGCTGCTATGCCTCTATGCTGATTCAATTGTAATTGCAACTGCTATCTGTATGTATTTTAAATTTTTATTTTTTAACATTTACTAACCACCCATGGAGCCTCAACTATTGGATGGTATAAAAATGAAGTATATAAATAAATTTGGCTGGAGCACAATACTATACCTTATACATTATATTGCTGTCAGAAGAATAAATGTCATGGATTTTGGACCTGTTAATGTTTTTTAAGTGTTTGTCTAAGTGTTGACATAAAAATTGAGCCTGTGAATGCTCCGGAATGCCTTCTGTGCTGGTGCCCTCCAGATGTGTTGCCAGAATGCTGCACTGGACCATGCTTGCAATTTGGTCCAACACAACAAAAGGGCACCAAGCTGATAAAGGCTCTTCCAAGAAAGTGAAAATATACTGAAAATGTACCTGCTATACAAGTACACTTGTCAGAGTTGTACAAGTGATGACAGATCACTGGAGCACACACTCAGTAGCAAACCTGCATTTGTGATTGTATAATGTGTGAAATGTCCCTCTTGAGAATCTTCTCAGCTGAGTTTGGCTTTTTAGCACTAAATCTCTAGCTGGTTGAACACCTGATAATATTCAAGATTCTATTCTGCTCAGCCTTTACTAGTTTCCTTCTGAATGGTACACATGCAGATTGGGTTCAGTCCAAATGATACCAGGTCAATTCAACCATTATCGTTATGCTGCAAGTAAGCTATGTGTCCATCTGCTTTCTCTTTACCTGCCCTGCACCCACCCTCTAATGCACATAATTTCCTCTATAAGCAGTGATTAAACAGTTTCCTAGATCATATATCAAGAGAGACAGTGATTGGAACAAGCCTAGATGTAAGTATCTATGTTGATCTGCTTGAGAGCATTCCCTCTGAATCAAGCAGTAGAGTATTCAGGTTGATGCGTAATGGAATGTTATTTATGCTGATTGGGAGACCAGGTTCAGAGCTTTGTTTAACCTCTTAATTTGCTGTCCATCTCCTTTTAATGTACAGAAGTTGGGCTGCAAATGATCAAAGTATGATATTATTAATTTACTTGCTTTCTGACAGGGACTCATCAGATCAAAGACTTTGAGTTCCCACCTAGTAAAGAACCAGCTTTTATAACTGTACCAGGGAAGAGCATTGCAGGTCCATTTGCATTACACCCCGGAACCTGGATTTTTAAAATCATGGCAGAGGGAGTCCTTCTGGTAAGAATTTACTTAAAGGTATTTGTGTAGTGCTGATTCTGTTCTTGAGTGCATCCCAAAGAAAGAAAGGATGCACTCCATAAGTGCCTACGCAGGAAGTTCAGCATGACATTGGAATTAAGAATGAGAACTTGTGCATTTCAAGGGCTAGGATTAGAATATATTTAAGATCTGCTGGCTGGGGCAGAACCCCCACCAAAATAGCCCCTAGAAGCAAAGCACCTCAGATATGCCAGCGGAAGACTGGAGCTGAAACTGGACAAAGCTGATGAGACACGAGTAGCACGGGGGAGGATCACATTGATGCCACACACTCTTCCCCTTCCATCCCATTGGGGGATTGAAATTGCTCCCATTGATGGTGCAGGTTTGCATCAGCCTCAAGCCAGGTGCAAAGAAATTCCTTCCCATTGGCTTCAGTGTTACTACAGTAGCATAGAGTACATCATCAGTAAATAATCTCCAACAGGGAGAAGGTGACTTCCGATGATAAAACTAAGGAAATGTTTTAACGTGTTTTCTACAAAACCCTGTGATTTGATCATGAAGGGCAGGGTATAAGTATTTTAAATAAATACATAATTTGTTGCACACAGTTTTCCTTCCATTTTCACTTGATCATGTGTTCAAGAAATACGCTTACAATAATCTTGGTTTGTCCTGCCAGGATTACTTGGTGCTCTTACCAAGAGACTACTATGAAGCTCCCCTGTTGCGATTTCCTGTTACGGAACCTTGCACTCATTCTGGGCATTCTGCAAGAGAGAGGTTAGTGCTTCTGTTTCATTAATGAGACAATTGCCCATGTTGTTTATATTCACTTTAACAGTCCAACTAAGCACTGCATTTTCTTTTACAGTTGCTTAGAATATAAAAACTTGCCACTGGACAGATTTTATTGTGTGCTTGGTTCAGAAGTAACATTCTTCTTACGTGGTGGAGAGTACAGAAAAGTAGTTTTCCAACAACCAACACCAAATCATCCAGTGATGTCACATTTCAGTGGTCAAGAGGTAAAGATGTTTTTCCTTGTGTATATAAATGTGCCATTTGTAAATGGGACACGCTATGCACTATCCCCTCAGAACTGCTGTGTGGTGATTTACCCAAACAGCAGTTAGAGACATACAAGAATTCATTTCAGTTTGAAAATTGCTCAAAGATGCCCTGTTTGCAATCCTGAAGTCAAATACATTTTCTTTGAAAATATTTGTAGATTCCTGAACTTGCCTCAGGCCTGCAAATGTGTACTTAAGAATATGCAGTTTTAATGGGCACATTTTAAATTTCCCATGCTTTAGTCAATGGGAGGAAAGTGCACTGTGTTGACACATTTAGGAATTGCTTGTATGGCTTTCATGTTTTGTTTGCTTTTGGAATCTTCCCATTTACATGAAATTAACACAATACAAAACATGAATGGAACTGATGGACAGACCAACAGTGAGCTGATGTTCAGAGAATCTTTGTTCACTTGAATATTGCTCCTTAGGAGCAATAATTACTTAGCAGATCAGATTCAGTGTCTAAATTATTAAATGCTGGTGAAAACAAATAGAAGAGAATAGCATGCTTATGATACTTATTTTCTTAATATTAAAATGTGATTTGAATCTTTGTTAGGTAGCTCTGCAAATCAGACTGAACGTACCCAAAGCTGGCCGCTATGTAGTAGTCCTTGAGTACCTTAATGAACATGATCAAATCTATGTTGGTAATGTGAAGATTAATCGCCCTGGGCAAACAATGGAGGCAAGAATAAATATATACAGCTGTAAATACAGGTGAGAAAACTGAAACTATTATTTTCTGACTATTAATCCATACAGGTGACTTAAATCTTTGACTCCAAATTTGATTCTTAACATTGTGTTGGATTAGTTTTGCAGATTTTCCACACTTTTCAATCCATATAGGTTTTCTTTATTTGTTTAACAACATTAAAGGTAAATTATAACATCTTTAAAACTGATGCTTGAAGAAGTGAGCAAAGAATGGATGAATAAATGCCTTTTTGGGTAGAAGGCTTGATTTATGGGTAGAAACATTATTTATGTGGAAGAGGTAATGACTTATAATGGCTTTTGAATCTCCTACAGCTTCCTGTGTCGCAGTGTTGTGATTGATTATATGAGTCGTGTTGCTGTTTATCATCTTTCAGCTGATGCAGAGTTACATCTGAGGTCATCAGCAATAGATTTTCTTCTGGTACGTTTCTGCATGTAATATTTTCCCAAAGTTTGAATTAAGAAAACTCTTTCCATCAATGTCTCCAGTAGTACATTTTAGATGGGAAACACAGGAATTTGTCTCATACCATGCACCCAGAATTGTCTGCTTTGGGTCTATATGTATACAAAACTTTCAGAACCTTGGCACCATAAATTGAGACCAGCCAGTATAATTTCCTCTCTGTCATGTTGGTCTGAGGCAGGGAAGGATGCAGGAGTAGTTGCCCAAAGGAGTAAGGCATGAAGTGAAATCCTCCTTTTGGGCAGTTCTCATAATCACCACAACCAACAGACCAGGCCGGGGCTTCTAATGAGGGACAGGCACATCTCTTATCATTTTTTTTTCTTTTGGTAGGAGTTATATCTGTGGTTTAATTTGGGCAGACTCTGAGTCATACTGATTTTACACTATGCCACAGACAAGTGTCTACGAGATACAATTTTAATCTCATTAAATAGCACAGTATGTATTTGGGTTTCAAATGATTACAATAATTGTACAGTTCCACAGTACCTAAGAATCCTGTGAGTAGATACAATCCTTGATTCTTCAACCCTCCTCCACGGCAAAGCAAAGAACGGTCTTTGAATGTAGCTGACTTCCTCAATGAAGAAATTAAAAATCCTGGATTATAAGATCTTTGCTGCCACCTTTTGGATACCTAAGTCTGTCTTCTCATGCCATTGTGTTTAACATACTTTCAAATCACAGAGCCTGTGTACACGATGATGTCGGCTCCTGGGCAGACTGACTTGTTGCTGTGGTTCATAAGTCATCCCAAAACCCTACTGTGATCCCTGTGTGATCTTGTTGGCTTGTTGTAACAAGCCACTCTGCTTGGATTTGCATGTCACAGGAAGCCATGGAGACTGACTCCCTCCCAACCCTCCCCACTACTATGGGCTCACTAGCAAGGGATACCCGGATTGTTTTACTGCCTTATTTATTGAATTATGGAGGCACTTTATGCTTTCTCTTTCCTGAGAAACAATTTACTATGATAAGTGATATTCATTAATTTAAAGACATTCCTCTGCTGCAGTTCATATGAGATCTTGCAGCAGTTTACAAAATTAAAGGCAACACTTGGAAATCAGTCAATCAAATATGCAATAAATAAATTGAAATGGTGTAAATAAATGGCAGCATAATAACAAAGACCCGCAAATGGTGTTGTTGGCTCATGAATCCCTGATTGCTTAGAAGTAAGAAATTAGGGGTACCTGAATCTCTCAATTTCTGGTTTTGGGTGTGTGTGTGTGTGTGTGTTTAACCTGCTTGTGCAAAGGAAGGAGTGAAGGAAGAGCAAATGAGCTGTGTGCACCAGTATGATGCTTCTTCTCAGTAAACCAAAATAAGCCAGCAATACCTTTAAGGTAGAGAAAATATTATGCAAAGCTGGAATATCACTCAACACATTGTAGGTATACTCAGGAAATTAGGTCATGGCCATCCAGGAAATCCCAAAAGGGATTTCCACTCTTGAGGTAAACCTGCATCCCACTGATGTGCAAGGGAACTTTCCAAAGGGCAGCTTTCCAACCCTCCTTCAGACCTTAAGCTGCAGTCCTATAGGAGGGAAAAATGTAACACACCTTTTGTTTTCTTTCTAGTGCAAGGTTTGCCTTATCCCATTGGAAGATTTCTCACTAGAATATCTTAAGCCTCAGGTGTATTGCATTGCCACATACACCCATTCAGCTGATTCAAGGTAAAATGCTTTCTTCCCTTTTGCTTTCCTTGAAGTCTTTAAGAATTCAAGATTTTAAGACTGAAATACTGTTATCTCACTCAGGAATAACTGCAGTGCCCATCATGTGACTGAGGGTCTGTTTGTGTAAGTAGGTATTGAGGGTGTGGGGGAAGTTTGTGGGGGTAAGGATATATCAGGAAAATTTAGATACAGGGACCCACAGGGGTGGTGTTACCACCTCAGTGCTTTAGGTCTGAAGAGATATGGTAAGAAGAGCGTTCTGGACATCAGAGTACGATAGTTTATGTTCAGGGCTGTTCCCCTTCTGCCCCCTTCCTTTGCATCACATGTATTTGCTTGCTGATATAGAGAGCCCTGCTGTCTTGCAGGGCTGGTATTTAACTCAGGCCAGTTCACAATAAGCCACATTCATTCATGATTTAACTGTGTATAAAAAGGCTGAGCTGGCATATTGCACTGAGACTGGAGTGGGCTAACTAGGAGAGATGCTCTGCCTGTCTGGGTACCAGGTGCAATCCCAACACAGGCTACAGGACTGCTGTGGTGAGAGGACTCACCATGGTCTGCAGAACATCCTCTCCCTCACCCTCCCCAGGAGAGGGCACCTGGTGTTGGGCCAGGAGACAAGTTGGAGATGCTGCTGGTATGCTACTCACTTTGCTGCCTAGGAAATCTCTGGCTGAGCTGGCAGAGGTCTCAAGCACAGTACTGGAGAAACCAGGACAGTGTTCTGGGTGACATTAACATGCACATTGCAGCTGTCTCTGGAGCTCCAGCTTCATGGCCTCCATGACAACCATGGGTTATCTGTCTGCTCAAATGATGAAGACTTAGTCTTTGCTCTAGGCTATGAGATGATTAGTCTGAAAATTAGGGAGGGGCGATGTCCAAGTAACCCTATTATCATGGTCAGATCATTTTCTGACAAGATTTGAACTCATTGCATTAGTTCTCTCTTGTAGTAGTGGGAGACCCATTTGGACAGTACATACCAGGCAAATGATGGAATACTGAGGATTTCTGAATCCTCTTAAGGAGAGCATTATTTTCAGTGTAGAAAGCTGGGGATCCAGCAGGGGCCCTGGTCTCTCTGTAGAATAATGAGATGCAAAGACCATCAATCTGAGTGCAGCTTAGTGCCTTCTCTGGCACTGTAGAGCCCACTCCGTGGTATACTGGGGGGCTGCAGTCCATGTCAGCTAGAGTGTAAATGGTGTAGCACTTCACTGAGGTCATTGGATGGCATGTCCCTGATGGCTCCATATGGACCTATACCCTGATTGGAGTCCACCCAAAGAAGAGCCTTGAGTGTAATAGCTTAATTTCCCTGGCACTTCCTGCCTCTGGAGACTGTGCAGGCATCAACACTCTCCTGCTTTTAGTGCCTCCTGAAAACCTCTTTATTTCAGGAGGACTTCCTGAACTAAACAGCCACAATTTTTTTGATTTTGTTAACATATTGTTTTATTCCTTTTCCCTGTGTTATCTTTTTATCATTCAATACTCTAGAATCTCCATACCAGAGCAATATAGAAATATTATAAACAAACAAATATATAAATAGATTTTGGCAGGACTGACATTCTGTCTATTCTGACAAAAGAAAAATTGTTCACAGGGGTTGTTTGCTACTCAGTAGAGATGTGTAAGTTTTCACCAATAGTTGGATAAGGAATTATTTAAGGAATTTAGCTAATCTTTAGTTTTGTCCCTCCATAATTCCTACAGATACTTCTCCTAAGCATGACCCCCCAAAATTGCCCAGTATTTTGCTTTAACTGAAATATGTGTTAACTGATGCAACACTTTGCAACTTGACATGCAGAACTGCAGCCAGCCATCCTCTTTTCAAGAACCCTCCATCCCTTTCCAATATCCCAGTAGGGTTTTCTGTTCTCCCAGGCTCCATTATCAGCCAGCATTTTGTGCCACAATGAATATTCCACCCCCACTGAGCTACTTCCATTGCCTCATTCCTTAGACTTTTTCCTGATTATGTTTTATACATCTACAACTCAGGGTTTCCCCTAAGCAGGCTGATTTCTCCCTCTTGTACATGGATGGTACTGCTTTAGCTGCCTATGGAAGAGAGAATGAAAATGAGTTTGCTGTGAGTATCTATGATGTGGTCACCATGCAATTGTGGCTATACTCAAATTGTTCCTTAAGGCATTCTGTACCATTCTCCTGTTTCCTTCCACACAGTATATGGCAGTCATGTAAACACTTTGCATTTATTTGGCTCTACTTTCTAGAATCTACATTAAATGATTGCATGCTTTCTCCCCTTTAAAGTGCTTCATGCATCCCTTCGCTGTATGAAACGCCTCCTGCAGCCACGGTTTTGGATGCTCTGAGGGATGGGAAGGTGGCAGAAGTGCCAACCAACGTGGTCTATGAGGATTCACTTACTTTTCTACCATCTCCTCACACAGCCAGTGGAGTGACTTTGACTTCCTCACAGGTAGTTACATTTTGAATTAAATATAGTTCCTAGAGTGAGGTACTTTTATACTCACTGATTTATTTATTAATAACAGTTTTATACCATCCAATAGCCAAAGTGTTCTGGGAGGTTCACAGTAATTAAACCAATAAAATACAGCACACTAAAACCTCCATTTAAATGTGCAGTATTACATGAGAATAAAAATAAAGCCAGTAGCAGTGCATAAATCTGAAATTCAATAACTGGTTTAAAAACACAAGAATTTAAAGGATTTCAAAGTCTGCAAATCTTTATAAAGATTTGTAAACATTAACCTTATCTGGCATGACAACTGCACTCTTGTAGAACGTTAAGTGCTTTTCTTTATTGATTTGCAAGGAGATGACCTCTCATAAAGAGCCACTGCTGGATGACTCTTAGCTTAGCTTGTCTAAGGTAATGCCTATTCACATTAAATTCATATTTTCTTTGAATAGTTATTCATTGCCTGCTCTGGTCAGAGTGATATAGATATCACTCTGACCAGACTTGGCCAAAAGAAAAAGTGATACATGCTTCTTGACTTCACATTTTTTCTGCAATATGTTAAGTGAGGGCTCATGTATCTTCCTTGGGTTAAGAGGTAGCTGGAATGAAGTAGCTAGCTTTGGGAACAACCATATTAATTACCCACAATTCTCTGACACTATATTGGAAGCACTGTGATGAATTAAAATGGTAGGCATCTTCCAGACCTAGGTGTCCACCAGTGCTAGGTTCAGGTTTTTAAGAGCCTTCAGCAAGGTGCTTTCTGTGGGTCTCTCTTCTCCATGAGTACCTTCTCACCAACTGCTATTGCTTCTCATCTTCTTTCTCATCATTGTGACCACTTGTTTGATGGGCTGAGAGCCAGTTTGTAAGTATTGTTCATCCTCACTACTACCATTGTCAGAGGTAGGTAAATGAGAAAATTGCCATGGTGAAGAAGAACAACAACTCCCAAGGAATGTTATTTGTGGGTCCCTGCTGGGGTTTAGGTTTTTGGCAGGTGCCAAACCAGGCTGACACTTGATTTTGGCCCTCATGTCTGGTGTAGGTAACTCATAAATATGGACTTCAACAAGGTACTTGGACCTCTGCAGCTGCCCAAAAATGTTGTGGGTGGATGCTGGGCCTGGGAAGATGGATGACCTTTTCAAACAATGGGAGTTCATGCAGCTCTCAATGGGAGTTCAGGAAGCTCATGCAGATCTTCCAGGAATCAGGGATGGTGAATGGTTCACACTTTCCAGTTCTGAAGTTACCAATTGTTTCTCTGTCTCAAAAGACCATGTTTTTAAGAAAGTAGTGTACCTGGCACCACAAGTCATGCTTAGGTACTCAGCATCTTCTCCTTCTATCCTCTTCTAAATTTAAGAAGCTAGTCATGATTTAGAAATGTGAAGAGATTGCCAGAGCCTGTAAAAATCCTGTTCAACTCTGAATTCCCTTTTATTTGACATCTTCCCACACTTTCAGTTTAGTATCAGATCAAGCAATCACTGGGACACAGCCATTGTAGTCTACAAATAAGTTATTCCTGAAAAGTTTAATAAATGTAATGAACTGATTTATTTCAACAGAACCAAATTACACTGCGTGGGAGAGTGCCTCGTTTGGGCAGATATGTGTTCATTACACATTTTTACCAGCCAAATAACCCAACGTTTCCTGTGCATGTAACTGTGGATGGAGGACAAGTCTGGTCAGGTGAGCTAGATTTTACACTGGTTTAGTTTTTTAAAATCACACTTGGAATTTCCATATATTACTTTTAATTTTCCTTCATTTTGTCTGCTTTAGGTTCTAATAATGCCTCATTTTGTCCGCATATTTCTGGTTGTCGAAGTCTGGTGATGGCAGAAAATCAAATTGAGTTTGATATCACTAAGCATGACATCTCAGTAACAGTGAAAATTCCTAATGGAAAAACAGTGGTGTTGGTAAGTTTTATTAACTATGAAACTATTTGATTGTTGAACTAAAGACAAAACATCTCTGTAGAGATAATTAGGCAAAAGTAATTTACGCTCTGAATATACAGTCAAGACTCTGCATACCTTTTAGGTTTCTTTCATTTTCAGCATCAATATAGACATGATGCAAGTATCTTTTGTATGCACACACTCTTTTCAAAATTAATAGAAATTGTCTGGAAACTATGCTTGGATACTTGTGCACAGTACTCTTCATTTTGTTAAAATGAGAGCAATGCCGGATTGGGGTGGGGTGCGCAGGCGGGCGCTGGCTTAACCCGCTGGACGCGGCCTGGGGCAGGGCTGGATCGGAGCTCCCTCCCTCCCTGGAACACCTTCAGCGCCGTGCTGTGCCGCACCGCACTGCCACCGCAGCTGCTGCTGCCGTCGCCATGCCGGAGGCCAGCTGATGCCGCTCCCGCCGCCACCGTTGGGCCACCCCGGGGATGGAGGACGCCAGGGCCATGCCAGGGCCACCGTCTACGGTGCGGAGGAGGGTGCCGCCATCTCGCCGCCTGGCAGGTTTCCACGCCCCTCTCTGCTCCCCCCCTGCCGGCGTCGCTGCCGTTTGTGTCCGTGCAGGGCTGGGCTGGCAGGGGGCTAGGTCGGTGGGTGGAATTTTGTATCGGTGGGGGGGACTAGATGGGGAGTTTTTACTGTTTTAAAGTTTTATTGTATTTTAATTTGTTTTTATGGAGTCATCCCTGGCCATGTCGACGGTTGAGTTTCCTGGGGAGTGCATGGGCACTGCCATTGGGGTGGTCACGGGCAATGGTTGTTACAGTGGTGGGGGCTCAACGTGTCTGCGTAGAAGGAGGAGGGACAGATGGCTGACACCTGTCCCTCCTTCTGGTTCTACCCCCAGCCAGAGGGTTCCAGGTAGTCTTGTCAACCGCCCCTCGGGCCTGACAGTGCTGCTGCTCAATGCCAGGTTGGTCCACAATAAATCTTCCCTCATCCATGACTTGATTGTGGATGAGGGGGCTGACCTGGCTTGCAGAAAAGAGACCAGGGCGGGAGAAGGGGGGGATGTCGCCCTCTCTCAAATGTTCCCACCTGGGTATCTGGTTCGGCACCATCCACGCCTGGAGGGGAGGGGAGGGGAGGGGAGGGGAGGGGAGGGGGGTCGCTTTGGTTTACCGAGCCTCCATGTCCCTCACAGAACTTTCAGCCCCTTTGAGACCAGGGCTGGAGTGCCTCTACTTGGTGTTGGGCGACCGAGACAGATCGGGGATTCTGTTGGTGTACCGTACACCCTTCTGCCCAACAGACTCCCTGCCTGAGCTGATGGAGATCGTTTCGGACCTGGTGTTGCGGACCCCCAGGATGTTGGTCCTGGGGGACTTCAGTCTCAATGCCGAGACTGGTCTGACCGGGGCGGCTCAGGACTTCATGGCCTCCATGACAGCCAGGAGGCTGTCTCAACATGTCACCGGCCCGACCCATGAACGTGGACACACTCTGGACCTGGTTTTCTCGACTGGGCAGGAAGAGGGTGGTCTGAGGGTGAGGAATTTGTCTGACACCCCTGTCATGGTCAGATCACTTCCTCGTGAGGTTTGTGCTCCAGAGCGGCCTCTCCTTCTGTAAGGGTGCGGATCCGATTGTGTGGGTCCACCCCCGGAGCCGGATGGATCTGGACGGATTCCTGAAGGCCCTGGGGGCGTTTCTGGCTGACAAGACTGGTGCTCCTGTCGAGGCTCTGGTCGAACTATGGAATGAGGAGATGACTAGGGCTGTTGACACGATCGCTCCTAAGCATCCTCTCCCGCCAGGCAGAGCCCACTCTTCCCCTTGGTATACATCTGAATTGCGGGTGATGAAGCAGGCCGGAATATGGCTAGAGCATAGGTGGAGGAGATCATGGGATGAATCTTACCGAACACACTTAAGAGCCCAGTATAGGGCCTATGCTGTGGCAGTGAGGGCGGCGAAAAAGAAATTCTTCTCCGTTTCCATTGCCTCCTCAAAATGCCGTCCAGCAGAGCTTTTTCGGGTGGTACAAGGGCTGGTCCGTCCTGGCCCTAAGAAAGATTTGGTTCCACCCTCAAAGGCCCACTGTGACGACTTTGCCAAGCATTTCAGGGAGAAAATCGCTCAGATTCGTCATGAGCTAGACTCTACTAGTGATTCAGAGGCTTCTGGGGAGATACCAATGTCGCCGTCTGGTCCAAAATTAATGGATGAATTTCAGTTATTGCAGCCTGATGATGTGGACAAGGTGCTTGGACGAGTACGTCCCACCACTTGCCTATTGGACCCTTGCCCATCTTGGTTAATAAACAACGCCAAGCACGGGATTGGGATCTGGATCTTGGAAGTGGTTAACGCTTCTCTGAGGGAGGGTCAGGTACCTGCCCTCCCTCAGAGGAGGCGGTAGTCCGACAGGTCCTGAAGAAAGCGTCGCTGGATCCAGAGATGGCCACTAATTATAGACCAGTGGCCAACATCCCGTTTCTGGGCAAGGTGTTGGAGTGGGTGGTGGCGGGACAACTCCAAGCACTCTTGGATGAAACTGATTATCTGGATCCATTTCAGTCCGGCTTCAGACCTGGGTACGGTACTGAATCTGCCTTGGTCGCCCTGTACAATGACCTGTGCAGGGAGAAGGACAGGGGGAGTGTGTCCCTGTTGGCTCTTCTGGACCTCTCAGCGGCTTTTGATACCATCAACCATGGTATCCTTCTGGATAGGCTAGCGGGATTAGGGGTCGGAGGCACTGCTTTGCAGTGGTTCTGCTCCTATCTCAATGGCCGATTCCAGAAGGTGGTGCTGGGGGACTATGGCTCTGCACCATGGCAGCTATGCCATAGAGTACCGCAGGGATCCATTTTGTCCCCTTTGCTGTTTAACATATACATGATACCGCTGGGAGAGGTCATCAGGAGGTGTGGGCTGTGGAACCATCAGTATGCTGATGATACCCAGCTCTACCTCTCGTTTTCCACCAATCCAGGTGAGGCAGTGGCTGTGCTGAACCGGTGCCTGGCCGAGGTAATGGGCTGGATGAAGGCCAATAAACTGAAGCTCAATCCAGACAAGACGGAGGTCCTGTTGGTTGGCGGATCGGGCTTCGGTGAGGGTGAAATGAACCTAGTCCTGAATGGAGTTGCACTCCCTCTTAGGGACAAGGTCCGCAGCTTGGGAGTGCTCCTCGACCCAGAGCTTTCACTGGAAGCTCAGGTGACAGCGGTGGCGATGTGCACTTTCTTTCAGCTGCGGCTGATCCATCAGCTGCACCCCTACCTGGAGAATGACTGCCTGGCGACAGTGACACACGCATTGGTGACTTCCCGACTTGACTTCCTGTAACGCACTCTACATGGGGCTGCCCTTGAAGATGGTCCGGATACTTCAATTGGTTCAAAATAGAGCTGTCAGGCTGCTGATGGGGATTGGGCATTATGTTCACATGACTCCAGTTCTCCGTCAGCTTCACTGGCTCCCCATTGAAGTCCGGGCCCAATTCAAGGGGTTGGTGATGACCTATAAAGCCCTAAACGGCTTGGGTCCTGGTTACCTGAAGGAGCGCTTACGTCCATATATGCCCACCCGCCCCCTGAGATCTGTGGGAGAGGCCCTTCTCCAGGAACCCTCCATGAAGGAAATTAGGAGGATGAGTACTCGGAGGAGGGCTTTCTCTGCGGTGGCGCCCAATCTATGGAATGCGCTCCCAGAGAGGTCCGCCTGGCGCCATCATTATTTGTTTTTCAGCGCCAGGCCAAAACCTTTTTATTCAAATGTCATTTTTACTGCTAATAGTATTTATTTTTTTTATTCTTTGGCCAGGGCAACTTACTTTATACTGTTAATTTATATTATTTTAATTGAAGTTATTTATGTTTGTGAGCTGCCCTGAGGCTTCAGCGAATGGGACGGCATAGAAATTTTCTAAATAAATAAATAAATAAATAAATAATGCCATTTTCTCATCATTTTAAAGGAACGTATCCTGGTTGTTCCAGCAGACAGCTACACTTACACACTTCTTCAGAAAGACACTGTGGATAAGTCATACGATTTCATCAACCAGTGTGGTGGGAACAGTTTTCACATTAAGTAAGTCACAGTGCAGTCCTGCTTGTGTCAACTCAGACTGTTCCTTGTGCAAGGTGGGCCCCTGTCTACAACTGGGACATGGGGTTGCTCCAGAAAAGGTTAATTTTGAGGAGGGATTTGAAAGAAGCTGGTTTCACAGAAGCATTCTGGGAAGACGTTCCAAGCAAAAGGGATAGCAACAGCAAAGGCATTTTAGGGAAACAGAGGACCTTTGGGTGGCTTGGGATGGTAAAGTTGGCTAAGTGAAGTTCACAGTTGGGATGTGTTAGGGTAAACAACTGGAGGGAGACTACTGCCCCTACATGTGCATCCATACTGCACATGCGTTGGAGAGAGGGTGTTACAGATATAATGTCCTTGGGCGGTGGCGCCCAACCTATGGAATTCACTCCCCAAAGAGGTCCGCCTGGCACCGTCATTACTGGTTTTTCAGCGCCAGGTAAAGACCTTTTTATTTAAACATCATTTTAATTGTTAAAATATATGATCTGGCCAGGGCAACTTCTTCTTCCTTCTCTTTTCTCCTCCTATATTCTTTATTTACTTATTTTATACTGTTAATTTTAATTTTATATTATTATGTTTGTATCTCAGTGTATTTTTTGTATTTTTGTATTTAATGGTAATTTATTATGTTCTTTTGTATTTCAATGTATTTTATTGTGTTGTAAGCCACCCCGAGGCTTCGGCAAGGGGCGGCATAGAAATGTTATAATAATAATAATAATAATAATAATAATAATAATAATAATAAAAACATGGAATTCTTTTAACTGTATTTCCACAGCTGAACAGGCAGTACATTATAGAAATAAAAATGAGAGTAAATGAACAATATTTCAGATCCAGCTAAGACAATAAGTGGGTATTTAAAATAAAACTACCAGAATTCAGTTTCGTGACTTGTTTCATTTTCACAGCCCTGTAAGTTCCTCAGAATTCTGTAGAAATTCAGCAAGATCACTTGTGGCAGCCTACAACAATGGGGCTCTGCCTTGCAACTGCCACAGAAATGGTGCCACCAGTCTTACCTGCGATCCAGTGGGAGGGCAGTGCAGCTGCAAGCCAAACATCATTGGCCGCCGATGTAGCAGGTGCCAAACAGGCTATTATGGATTTCCATCTTGCAAACGTAGGTATATTGCCAGTAATTCCAGGGAGAGGTCATATCATATGCTTTTCTTGAATGATGCCTGACTATTTCATTCTGTATTTATTTTGTTTTGTGTTTAGGATTTTTCTTTAACATGTATTTATAATATTATTCCACCCTTTTTTTTCCAAGGAACTCAAGGCAGCTTACCTAATTCTCCTCCTCCTCTCAATCCTATCCTCGCAACAGCAACCCTATAAGATAGGTTGCAATGGGAGTTTGTGAATGGCCCAAAATCACCCAGTGAGATCCATGGCTGAGTGGGGGCTTGAACCCAGATCTCCTGAGTCCCAGTCCTGCATTCATAACCACTACAACACATTGGCCGTTTATATCCTGTTGCATCAAAGGTCATTTATTTGTATTGATTGATAAATGAGAGAATTCAAAATGTTGGAGCTACTGTGAAATACTTTTGATTAAACTGCGTTTGTTGGTTTTTGAAGGAACTATTGCTTTATGCATACTTACAATGCATGTTTAACATGAAGTAAGTATACTTCCCCAAAGGATATTCATGTATTTTATTAATTAAAACTGTGGCTTTCTCTGAACAGTTCTAGGTGCATTACAACAAAGTTAACAATTAAAAATATTCCTCCAGTTTATAACATATCCTGAAATGCAAAAACTGCAGAAGAAAACAACCTAACAGCAATAAAATAATTAATATTAAAAATAAGGAGTGATTAAAGCAGCAAGTCATTATATACTAAGCTCCTTCCTAAATAGAAAGCAACATTTGAAATTATGTATTTGCACTGTTCTGCTATACCACCTAGAGGTTATACAGCAGAAAAACAGGAAAGGAAAAACTTGCACAGAGCTTGGATCTCAATTCTGGAACGAAACCAGAAGTACACACAGTGGACGGACAGCCTTGGGTAGAAAATCCCTTGTGTAATTGTTGCCATGCAGCACAGCTTAGCTCTGGCTCCTCTTCCCTGCTTGTTTACTTTTTCATTTTCTATTGTAATTATACACTATTTGTAAACTATTTTTCAAGCTGTGAACTGTCTATGAGTACATTGACAGGAATGTGATGATATATAAATGTAAAAACAAACAAAACAAAAATGAAGAAAAGCGCAGTGTCATCCTTAAGTCATGGCTAGACTTATTTCTTCATGGTTTAGAACTGATCATCAGAGGAGGGCTGAACCTCCCGCCCCCCCCCCCCCCCCCCCCCCCCCCACACAGAGAGAGAGAGAGAGAGAGAGAGAGAGAGAGAGAGAGAGAGAGGCGCAGTAGGCAGCAGCTGAGACAGCTACCTAGAGAGAGAAGTGGTGTGAGTCAGCTGTGAATAGTTCTAAAGGTCTGAATTAGCATGTGGGCTCCATGTATATGCTTGGATCACTTTTTAAAATGTTAACAGTTAAATAAAGTTGAAGTGAGATTTTAAAAAGTTATAATGGATTTTCAGCTTTTTAAAAAAGACAACTTGCTTATTCAAAATACTATTCTTATAAAATGATTCTCGCCCTTTCAGCATGCAGCTGCGGACGACGCCTTTGTGATGACATCACTGGGAAATGCATTTGCCCCCCTCAAACTGTTAAGCCCAGATGTGAAGTGTGTGTAAGGCAGCACTTTGGCTACCATCCCCTTGCTGGCTGTGAGAGGTGCAATTGCTCAGGCAAAGGAATTGTTAATGCAGGGAATCCTGAATGTAATAGAATTAATGGGCAATGCAAGTAAGTGTACATTTTGGGTTGCATTTCCATGATGAAGCTTAAGAACTCTTGTCTTCATTGTTGTTCTTGCTACTACTCTGCAAGGGAGGAAGAAGAGTGAAAAGAGAGTCCCATTCTTAAAAACACATAGATAGAGCATCTGGAAGGAGCTGAATGTATTAACTTCCTAGACACGTCACCTCACCAGCTACTGTGGCATAATGAATGCAAGTTCTTTCTAGGGCAGTGGTAGAACCAGGGCTTTTTTTTGTCATAGAATGCACCAGAATGGTGTTCCGGCACCGCTTTTTGACGGATTTTTCCAAGTGATTGTGAATCACCCTGTTGAGCGTAGCAGATCTGCAGCAAAAATCATTAACATAGTGCCTGCGGGCTGCTTGTGTGTCGGTGCTGATTGTTGGCGCTGATTGTGAGGGCGCTGCTCAGCTTGGGATGCTGCTTGGCTTGGGATTGGTCATGTGGTCATGCGCTGAGCGCTTACTGCCAGCGGCGACCATTGTGTGAAAGTGTGACCCCAAGACGTGAGTTCCGGCACCTTTTTTTTTCTTTTTTACAAAAAAAGCACTGGGTAGAACAGTTTTCCCTACTTTTTCCAGGCACTCGTCCCACAGTTATTCAATCCCCACATCCCAGAAATGCTCTAGATCAGCCAAGAGAGAGTCCTTAAATGGGCCTGTCACAGAATTACTCCAGAGATAGTCTTCTATTTGGCTGCAGGAATAAAGGAGCCTTCCCCAGTCTGATGCCCTCCTTTCCCGATGGTTATGCATCTTTGGCTGGTGAGAATTGCAGTCTGACACATCTGGGGGGCACCGGCTTAGGGAAGGCAGACGTAGAATATTGCTTCTGTCTTGCTGTGTAAGATGCAGACAGTGCACAAACCAGAATTGTTTTTCATAATTATACAATTTTAATCAAGGCTTATTTAAGCTTGCAGTCTTTATATGCCAGGACTAATTATAAAACTAAACATTGTGCTAATTATGCATTGCAGATCTAGGGAAGATCGACATACTTGTGTCAGCATAAGCACGTGCAGATCAGGTTCACTGCAATTCATGGATTGAGAGTTAACATTCTTCCTTCCCATTCTGTTACCACTTCCCTGTGTGAGTTTGGGAGCTGGAGAGGATTAAAAGAACAACATACCCATTCCTATTGGCTTGAGTCACAGCCTGGTTCTAGTCACACATTCTGTTAGCAGAATGTTTTGTTTGGTCTTAATAGCTGTGCTCTTTGCAAGACATTTTTCTCATTTTATGAATGCAAAATTCAGACCTATGGAGCACCATGATGTTCAGAGTTCTAAATTGATAAGCAAATGCTTTTTTATTGTCAACATATTTGGGCAATGCAGTTAAAGACTATGTGCATTGTGCCTCACCCATGTACAGTGTTCTTATTTTGTATGCTTTATGTGTAATTTGATTGGAACTTTGAATTGTGACAGACTGCAAAGAGATTTAATAATTCTGTTTCATTTGGGACTGTTCTTGAAGAATGGCAACAGAATATAACTCGTTTGTGTCAGCATGGCCATCTCTGATGCCTGCATAACACTTAAGAAACACTGGTACAATTTAACATTCAATAATATTTATTTTGGACACAAAGCATCTTGTGCACATGTCCATCATACAACTTGCCATAGATGAGGCATCTGCAGTGCTTGTTGGCTCTACAAGGGAAAATAAAGATACCCCAAGGACTGCATTTAACAAACTGAGGACTAGCCCGTGAGTCTTTATGGCAAAATAAATTTGCTATTGGGAGATGCAACTAAAATGGAGTTCTATGGCAACCGTTTTCCCTGGAAGTGGAGATGGGGATTTAGATCAGGGAAAAATGCATGAGGAAGCACCACTTTTCATGATTTTGGGAGAAATCATGCAGATCTCCTGCATGATATCCAGTTTTGTTCTAAACATGGGAGAGTTGCTGCTAAGCATTGCTTCTTTTACCATCATAGGACAATAATGCAAAAAGTCATACCTGGCAAAATTCTCCATCCAAGGTGGACCATTTGTGCATTTATATCCTGCTTGTGGGATCCTGTGGGCAACTGGTTGGCCACTGTGAGAACAGAACGCTGGACCAAATGGACCTTTCCTCTAATTCATCAGGGCTGTTCTTATGTAGTGCTGGGGAACCACAGGAATCTTCTCTGAGTTTGGCACTGATATCCTTAATCTCAACCATATTTTATTCCATGACCTTGTAAAAATAAAATACCATATTACAATGCTGTTAACTTTCTTTTCCAGCCTTAATTAGCACTGCACCATTTGTTAGACTTTTCATAATATCACAAAATTACCATTCCCTAACTTGATCTCCTGAAAACAAACCTTTTTCAGAAATGATCTTTGGTCTTTTTATTGTTGTTGAAGGTGCCGCCCAGGAATAATAGGCCAACGATGTGATCAGTGTGCTCCGGACTCTTATGGTTTTCCAAACTGCAAACCCTGCAAATGTAAAAGAGGCGGAACTGAACCCAGTGTTTGCAATCCTCAGACAGGAGTTTGTCACTGTAAGGTCAGGTGCTTTCACATTCAAACACATGGTGCGGTAATCTATGAGCTGCATATTTTTAATTTAACTGGAGATCATCATGGTTCCTGTAATTTCTTACAAAGCAACAATACATATGAATTAAAAATCTGACATTATTCTTGGCTAAATTACCATTTCATAAAATCAAAGGTAATTTCAAAATGTGGTTCATGCTGAAAACAGCAACCAAAATTATCAAGAGGTTGGAGCAACTCCATCATGAGGGGAGTTAATAATATCTGGATAGAACATTATTATATATTATAATATATTAAAATTATTAATATTATAAAGACAAGTGAGGTGTACAAATTGGAAGACATTTTTTTCTTCCTCTCTCATAATACAGGAACCCATGAAGGTGATTAGTGAAAGCCTCAGAAAAGAGAAAAGAAAGTACTTTTTCCACATAGTATAGAGCATTATACTATGGAATTCACTTTTGCAAGATGTAGTGATTATACAAGTTGGATGGCTTTAAAATGGGATCAGACAAATTTATGGAGGATGAGGGCATCAACCCATCATGGTTACCAGTCATGATGGCAATATATAGTTTTAGTGAACTGTCCAGAGAGCTTCAGCTATTGGGTGGTATAGAAATGTAATCAACAAATACTACCTTCAGTATCAGAGGCAGTGTGCCTCTGTATATCAGTTGCTGGGGAATGTGAGTAGACCGCTGCTATGGCACTCGTGTCCTAATTGTGAGCATCCCATGACATCTGGTTGGCCACTGTGGGAGCAGGATGCTGGACCAGAGAGGCCTTTTGTCTCCATGTTTGTTAGAACAGCACTTTGCATTGTGGAAGCTGGCAGTCAAAGTGTTGGAAAGAGACTATATAGTAGCATTCCTGTTTCATCTCCTCTATCTTTCCCCTTCCTACTTCCCATAGCAATCAATAGGAGGATGTTCTCTGAGTTGCACAGTTACATACTGACTGATCAGTGAAGAAGAGCCCTTGAGCAGAAACAGGGTTTTGTTGACAAGTTATTTGCTGCCAGCAGAGATGGTGCTAGGAAAGCCCAGATGCGTTGTCCTGAGGACAATGTATACTAGCACTGTGTGTACAGTGTTCCAGGAGTGCCTGTGCACCATCTGCCACACTTTTAAGACCGTCATCTAAAAGTTCTGGGATTAAGGGGTAATTTGTAGCTGTGTTTACTCCATTTGCCCACTACTAAATCATCTGCTGGGGCCTCAGAAGTGTAAAAAAGGTTTGCTACTAGGTTTGAGGAGTCAGTATTACTCATTAATTAATTCCACTTCTGACATATGTAAAGCGCTGGCTTAATGTACTAATAATTCACTGCTGAACTGTAATGGTACTTCAGGCAATCATTCAAAGAATTACAATTGCTAGTGCTAAACCTCAACAATGCCTTTTGTTTGAATTCTACTTTGTAGTCCAATTAATGGAATTGAATATGCATACCATATCCAATTTTCCTTATCAGCACATATTTTTCTGCTTGTTTTAAAGCAAGAGGATTTTGAAATCCCGAAGAGGTTACAACATTTTTTTCTCATTGTTTCCATCAACTTTGCTGTCCATGCACTGCCCTCGTGCAATGCTATTTCCTTTATCATTCTTGCTACAGCAGTGCTGCAGTCAGAATCAAAGCCAAAGTAGCAAATGCATGATCAAATAAAACTCAGTATGAATAAATGTTTCATCACAGTGGCTCACACACACTCAGTGGGGCTTTTCACAGGTGGTCTTTAAAACCACATTTATGAATAGAGATGCTTGAAGAATTTAGTCTTTGTGAATTCAGGTATGAAATGAGCCACTGCTTATCTCCTCAGCTAATGTGTGGATCAGTATGTGGTTATCAATTAGGTTTTGCCCTTTCTGAATGTTCTAACAAAACTCTTAGCTCAAAAAAGTATTGACATATATTAGATATGCTTAAGTTAAGGAAATGTGATGAAATATATTTAGAAATAGGTATTAATATGCACTCCTTCATGGATCACTGCCTTGTCATGGCGAAGGGGCTTGCATAGCTCAATGAAGCTATGAGCTATGCCGTGCAGGGCCACCCAAGACAGACAGGTCATAGCAGAGAGCTCTGACAAAACGTGATCCACTGGAGAAGGAAATGGCAACCCACTCCAGTATCTTTGCCATGAAAACCCCATGGACAGTACACCAAAAGGCAAAAAGATATGATGCTGGAAGATGAGCCCCTCAGGTCGGAAGGTGTCCAATATGCTACTGGGGAAGAGTGG